CGGAACAGCGCCAAAATCGAGCCCAAAAACTCCCTAACGTGCCTTCTGAAACCCTAGAAAAACAATAGTTTTGGACAAGGTTTTATGGTTTTCGACCAATTTTTATACCAGTGTTTCTGAAAACGCACCCTCCCGGACAGGGAAACACAGTGGCCCTGAAGGACGGAACAGCGCCAAAATCGAGCCCAAAAACTCCCTAACGTCCCTTCTGAAACCCTAGAAAAACAATAGTTTTGGACAAGGTTTTATGGGTTTCGACCAATTTTTATACCACTGTTTCTACAATGAGACATAGAACCCTCCTGTTGCTCCTGTTGCTGCTGCTGCTCTTCCTCCCGAGGCTGAAAACGCACCCTCCCGGACAGGGAAACACAGTGGCCCTGAAGGACGGAACAGCGCCAAAACCGAGCCCAAAAAGTCCCTAACGTCCCTTCTGAAACCCTAGAAAAACAATAGTTTTGGACAAGGTTTTATGGTTTTCGACCAATTTTTATACCACTGTTTCTACAATGAGACATAGAACCCTCCTGTTGCTGCTGCTGCTCTTCCTCCCGAGGCTGAAAAAACGCACCCTCCCAGACAGGGAAACACAGTGGCCCTGAAGGACGGAACAGCGCCAAAATCGAGCCCAAAAACTGCCCAACGTCCCTTCTGAAACCCTAGAAAAACAATAGTTTTGGACAAGGTTTTATGGTTTTCGACCAATTTTTATACCACTGTTTCTACAATGAGACATAGAACCCTCCTGTTGCTGCTGCTGCTCTTCCTCCCGAGGCTGAAAACGCACCCTCCCGGACAGGGAAACACAGTGGCCCTGAAGGACGGAACAGCGCCAAAATCGAGCCCAAAAAGTGCCTAACGTCCCTTCTGAAACCCTAGAAAAACAATAGTTTTGGACAAGGTTTTATGGTTTTCGACCAATTTTTATACCACTGTTTGTACAATGAGACATAGAACCCTCCTGTTGCTCCTGTTGCTGCTGCTGCTCTTCCTCCCGAGGCTGAAAAAACGCACCCACCCGGACAGGGAAACACAGTGGCCCTGAAGGACGGAACAGCGCCAAAATCGAGCCCAAAAACTGCCTAACGTCCCTTCTGAAACCCTAGAAAAACAATAGTTTTGGACAAGGTTTTATGGTTTTCGACCAATTTTTATACCACTGTTTCTACAATGAGACATAGAACCCTCCTGTTGCTCCTGTTGCTGCTGCTGCTCTTCCTCCCGAGGCTGAAAACGCACCCTCCCGGACAGGGAAACACAGTGGCCCTGAAGGACGGAACAGCGCCAAAATCGAGCCCAAAAACTTCCTAACGTCCCTTCTGAAACTAGAAAAACAATAGTTTTGGACAAGGTTTTATGGTTTTCGACCAATTTTTATACCACTGTTTCTACAATGAGACATAGAACCCTCCTGTTGCTCCTGTTGCTGCTGCTGCTCTTCCTCCCGAGGCTGAAAACGCACCCTCCCGGACGGGGAAACACAGTGGCCCTGAAGGACGGAACAGCGCCAAAATCGAGCCCAAAAACTGCCTAACGTCCCTTCTGAAATCCTCTAGCAAACTAAGCAAGAAGCTAGAAATAAGCTCAAAACTTCCACCTTCCAGGCCGCCAAAACACGGGAGCCGCCAGCCTCAAACACCATGGCAGTGAAGGACGAAGAAGCCACGAAACGGCACCGAAAAACTGCCTAACGTGGCTTCTGAAATCCTATGGCAAACTAAGCTAGAAGCTAGAAATAAGCTCAAAACTTCCACCTTCCAGGCTGCCAAAACACGAGATCCGCCAGCCTCAAACACCATGGCAGTGAAGGACGAAGAAGCCACGAAACGGCGCCGAAAAACTGCCTAACGTGGCTTCTGAAATCTTATAGCAAACTAATCATAAGCTAGAAATAAGCTCAAAGAAGCTCAAAACTTCCACCTTCCAGGCTGCCAAAACACGGGATCCGCCAGCCTCAAACACCATGGCAGTGAAGGACGAAGAAGCCACGAAACGGCGCCGAAAAACTACCTAACGTGTCTTCTGAAATCCTATAGCAAACTAAGCTAGAAATAAGCTCAAAACTTCCACCTTCCAGGCCGCCAAAACACGGGAGCCGCCAGCCTCCGATCAAGGCGGGAAGGGCAACCCAAGGAGCCCCACGTACCTCGAGGAGACTCCGGGAAGGACCCCCCACCGGTAAAACAAAAACCCCGGAGTCAATGAATCGACGTACGTGACCGGTGGGAGGGGGACCCAACAGGGTCCCCCGGCAAAGGGTCATTGTTGTTGTTGTTGTTGTTGTTGCTGTTGCTGTTGCTCTTGCTGTTGCTGCCAGAATATAAAATTAAAATAGAATCCTGCTGCCTGCTGCCGCTGCTCTTGCTGCTGGTGCGGCTAAAACTTGCTTGTCTTATTCCCTGGCGCTCTCCCCCTTGCGTCTGCCGGGGTCGGCGGATATGGTTTCAGGTCCTTGTCCATTTTGGGTTCTTTGAAAATAGGAGCTTGTCCTGTCAGCACCCCAGCTCATGGGAACTCTTCCCAGTGAACAGGACATGGGATGCAAGCGCCCAGTCATTTACAGATACTCCCACGGTTCTGATCCCAAAACTTCAGGGAGCTGTGAGATGTTGTGAGCGCTGCCTTGGGGCCTTGGGCCCAAGCTGATGCTGTCAGATCATGCCCCGTGAAGAACATGGGACCTCCCGAATCCAATGGGGCCACAACTTGGCAGCTCCAGCCGATCAAAACTCTGCCCAACTGGAATAGTTGGTCCCGATCCCCTCAAACACGAGTGGGCCATCAAATACTGTCCCGCCGCCAATGGTTGTTAGTATTATCATCCACAGACAAAAAGGGCTTCAAGTCAGGCTTTTGAAGTGAAACAATCATAAACAATCAACAAAAATCAACAAAGATACCCCAAACCCAACAATTTTAGCACGCTTTCGCCCATGCCGGCGCCGCGTTTGCTGCACTTCAACGTCTTCTGCATCGCTGCGCCTTACAACACCAATGTGGCCCCTCCGAATGCCCTGATATTGCTGCGGGTGGCTGTGCCCAGTACGGGCTGCGGCAATGAAGCTAGGAGTCAGTTGAGCCCCAAAAATCCCTGGCGGTTGATGGATGTTGATGGTGAACCATCTTCTACTGGCTGGTTTTTTGGGGTTTGGGGCGCTGCTCAGTGTTTTTTTTGATTCCGAGCATTCGCAAGCTTTGTTTTTGATGGGGGGATTCACAGTTGTGGGGCTTGATCATGCAGCTAAACTATGGGAACACATCAGAAAACACCAAACATTGGGTACGGGATATTGGGGATTCTGTAGATAGTTCCGCCCAATTCTTACTTCTCCCATGGCCCCTTTCTTTTCTCCCCAGAAAATCGTTGAAGCCGCCGAAATCCAAGGATATCCTGGTGAAATTGGCAAAGCATACGGCAACTTGGAACTGGAGGGGTCAGCAACCTGCTGGGTATGGGTCAACCATCAAGTACCCAAAAGGATCCAATTGGGATTTTTCATGATCTAACCATCAAAGATGGTTGAACCATGATGAACATGAAGTAAACCTACGCCGCTACGCCTCCAGTTTTTTTTTACTTTCACTGTTTCTTTGGCAAAATTTTGCCAGTTTTTCATTGAACCAAAATTCGGACCCAAGACACCTCAACACCGCCTCGTACCCAACTTTGGTTAATCGAATGGAAGCTGCGGCTCAGGAAGCTCCAAGTGGCTTCAAATTTGAAAAAGTGAGGATCAAAGGAAGAGGAATCTTTCTGGATGAGAAGGACCAAAGATTTCCGAAGTTATGGACATTGTTTCATACCCAGGCAGAAAAGAGGTTGGATTTGAGCGGAATTTTGAGTGGATGTTTGAGCCATGCGGATTTTGGTCGACCTGTGATGATGCGCACTACTTTTCCATCTGGTCGAAAACGATTTGCTGTCCAAATCCAGATCAGTTGGGACCCACTGGTTGGTGGTTCTTCATGAGTTTTCGCTCCGAAAATTTCAATATCCACAAGACCTGGGGCGGAATCCATGGGAAAGCTATGGAAAGCTTTCGCGCAGGCCATTCTGGAAGATGTGGTTCATGAGCACGAGACGGACTTGGAAGCCTTCATGGGAGAAGTTGCGAAGGATCGACATTTTTTGAAGATTTTGAAGGAGGCTTGTGGATTTAAGCTATGAGCCAATGATGATCATGTTGAAGCGATGGGATATTCCTTCAACTCCTACAGAAGCGGTGACTTCACATTCCCTAGTAGTAACGTGGTGTTTGGGGAACAAACATGATTAAACATGGAGGATTAAAGCAAGAAAACATGAAACACATTTGGAAAACAACATGCTAAAAGTAGCCATATGATGCAGTATGCCCGAACAACTATCTAATATTTTCAATCACATTGATATCCAATGTATCAATGGCTACAGTTGATATATCAACTTTTTACAACATTATCACAATCTTGATCCCCAAAAACATTCAGATTGCGTGCTGGGAATTGTCAGGAGGAAGAGCTAACAGAGCCATTGAGATTGGTAAAGCAGGAGCCGATCGACCGGATCGACATGGTTTTACGTTTAATGCAAAACCGAAGCGATGAACAGCGAACGCTGCGCTCGCGAAGTGTGCGAAGCCGTCCAAAACGTCCAAAATGTCCAAAACTCATTGGTGCCGTGAAGCGCATCGTGGCCACGACCAAAGAGTACGTGGAAGCTTGGCGAAGGCTTCTTGAAGGGGTGGAAAGTGTGTTTGTCTTCTCTGAGATGGTGGGGATGTGGGTTGTCTTCAACGTCGCTGTTAGACACTTGCTGCCTTCCTTAGAAGTGACCACAAAGTTGACTTAGTGAAGACATGTGAATTGATATATATATATATATCTGATATTTTTTGGGATTATTTTTTGGTGCCATGTCAAACTGCTTCTGCTGCTGCCTTCACCTTGGCACCATGTGGCACCTCACCCAGGAGAGCTTGAAATTTTGCATGCGAAGTGGCGAAGTCATCTCCCATGGCAAGGAGGAAGAGAAACCTGACCAGAAGGAGTTGAAATACGCGTGTTTCTATTTGGAGGACACGGCAGCTATGGGCAGTTGACAAAGTTGACATGTTGATCGTCAATGATTGTTATTGGATGGTTGGGGGTGACTGCGCACCGATCGACTTGAGCCAAGTAGAAACTGCTGATGTCAATAAAGAGGAGTAACAGAAGTTAACAGAAGTATGATTCTTGCATATTCTTGCTCACCATCCCTCATGATTACCCGATTTTTTCGATTCGTGCCCTGCACAACTCCTTCGACGAATGTTTTTTCCGTAGCGTAAGTGGTATACGCATCCTATACTCTTTGATATTTCAACGAACCAATTATAATGATTTACCTGTGAAACATACTCATTGTCCATGGCTATGCTACAGATTACAGGTATATTGGAGTATATACCCATATAATTCTCCATTCAAACAATATTTATCAATATTTCATAAGATGCTTCGAGAAAAATCCCAATGACATCCCCATTTTGATGCGAATTTCCCACAGGAGGAGGAGTTGCTCCAGGAAGTGGAACAACTGATGGATCGCGATGCGCCACCAGACACCTTAGGAGTGGAGATCCTACTGATTTTCGGCTTTAGGACATCCCGGCCTTCTGCCTCGAGTTCCAGAACTTCTCATGACATGGTAACCATGGTACCACCTGGTTTCGAGAAAGTCATTTGGGTAGCTCTCCTCATTTTTTGGAGCCATTTCCATCGTATTCATTGGATTCCATTGGTTAAATCAAATACTATCCCAACTTTTCCCAACTTTGGCTTGTTGAATGCACCATGGTCTTGGAACACACCCTGTATCATGCCACAGACATCGGAATTCAAGATGTTTGACGGCAACACCAAACATCATAACACATCATGACATGCTCCCCCACAAGCAAGTTACATCCCAATTGGCGGATGGAATCCCAGTATAGTTGGGACATGTCGGAATCCCAATTGTAGTTGGCTAAAATCACCCTCCGCAATACCATGCAATAACGCAAAGCTTGAACGCCTTAATCCCAAACCATATCCCCAAATCTGCATTTTTTGTTTGATAAGTTTTTGAGTGTTTTTGGTGCCGGGCATCTGAGAGGCTCGCGACAGTTGTCATGTTTTGCATCCTACTATGAAAATAACATTGTGTGGGGGGGTGGGGTGGGGTGGGGTGGGAAAATAACGTCATTTGCACTTCCACACGCATGTGATGCAATATGTCTGTAGGCTCTCTTGCATTTCATTCACATCCACACATACGTCATGCTACGCTTCTGTAAGTTCTTTTGCACTTCCACACATACGTCATGCTACGCTGTAGGTACTCTTGCACTTCTACACATGCATCATGCTACGCTGACAGTTCTCTTGCACTTCTACACATGCGTCATGCTATGCTGTAGATTGTCTTGCACTTCCACACATACGTCATGCTACGCTGTAGGTACTCTTGCACTTCTACACATGCGTCATGCTATGCTGTAGATTGTCTTGCACTTCCACACATGCGTCATGCTACGCCGTAGGTGCTCTTGCACTTCTACACCTGCGTCATGCTATGCGGTAGATTGTCTTGCACTTCCACACATGCGTCATGCTACGCTGTAGGTACTCTTGCACTTCTACACCTGCGTCATGCTATGCGGTAGATTTTCTTGCATTTCCACACTACGTCATGCTACGCTGCTGTAGATTCTCTTTCGCTTCCACACATACGTCACGCTACGCTGTAAGTTCTCTTGCGCTTCTACACATGCGTCATGCTACGCTGTAGATTCTCTTGCACTTCTGTAGATTCTCGTGCGCTTCCACACATACGTCATGCTACGCTGTAGGTGCTCTTGCACTTCTACATATGCGTTTGTCTCACTGCTGTATGTTTTCACCGTATAATGATGATGAATATTTTATTTCAATGTTAATACTAATGATAATGATGATGATGATGATGATGGTGATGGATGTTGACATTGCTGACGATACTAAAGTTTCGTTTTTGAGCCTTTTCAATCCCCCCTAGAAAATGTTTGAAAAGTGACGACAGTTGCGAGCCTCTCAGATGCCCGGCACCATGTTTTTTGGCACGTCTAAGGAGAACATCAAAGCGTGATTTGACGATCAGTGGCGCTGCGAAATCGAGACCCCCACCCAATGTGGTCAGGCCGGGCCTATCCTGGCCCATTGGCGGTTGTCTTTTCGAGGGAAGCTACGAGCTAATGGATATGACTAAGCCTTGATGATGTAGGTATATACAACATTCAAACACACATGTACTTTACGATCTTTACGGTAATTTGATGGTATTTAATTCATGTTTTTTTCTTGAAATGGCATTTAATGGTATTTTTTGAAAACACACGTTTTGAATGGATTTGAATGGTACTTAAGGGACCATTATTAAGCCACGATGATGGTTAATGTCATTAAAAAACAAACAATGATAGGTATATTTAACAGCAGATAAACAATACGCATCACTAAACACTTGGGGATTATTTCATGCATTACTTCAACAACTCATTTGCAGCGCCAATGGAGGAAATGTTTAAAAGCACCGGCTGGTCGGCAAATTCGCGGCCTAATCTTCGCGAACCATGAGATGGTTGGGTACCGTCATCACAGGCGATTGTTCCGGGGACGACCCAGTGATTTGGATCCGAGTGTTGAAACCCATCAACTTTTGGGGCAAATCATTGGATGCCTTGGCAAAAAAAAGTCCAGCTTTGAAATTTAGATGGATTCAGACCATCGAGATTGGATTTTTTCTTCGGGAACATTTGAAGTGAGCACAAGAACCCCGTTCCAGACAACATTTGTTAACAAGTCTTTGTTGAAGCTCTTCCACCAGATTCCTTTTCTGTTTGACATTCGAAGCACCTGGTCTCATCACCCCATGGCCGATGGCCCTGTAGGTCGGTGCCAAAGTACATCAAAAAGAACCAGAAGAGGGCGCGACGGCAGCAGACACAGCAGACACAGCAGACACAGCAGACACAGAGCATGTTTGCCTTGGAAGACGAGACTTCGAATGCCAAGAGGCTTAGACTTCAGTGAGGCCCCAGAGCTTGGAGTTTGTGCCGTTGCGTTGTGGACACAAAGGTCATTAACATGCCATTAACATGTTGTGGTTTGTTCGTGGAAAATCAGATCTCTTGATGGCTCGGTTTTTTGTTGACGCACGAACCTACCGGCAGGACTGCTGGTTGGACTTAGATGATGTCCAAGCGCGGACAGAGCCACGTTCTTCAAAGAAGAAATACTTTTAAAACAGTGTGCGGATTGTTGCGGATTGTTGCGGATTGTTGCGGATTGTTGCGGATTGTTGCGGATTGTTGCGGCCCTGGGGGTGCAGCTTGATATAGCTTGATCTTTGTAGGAAGTTGAATAAAACAGTGAGCCATGCAGATGCATGGAGAATGCATCCAGCATTTTTTCCTTTGTCACAAGTGCTGGTCGCGGATTGAGCGTCCTGCAATCTCTACTCTAAGGCAAGTTGCAAGTGAGATCGCAGCGAGCCCGACATGTTTTTGGTGGCACATCCTTCCTCTATGTGACTTCCTTGCTCATTTCATTCTCAAGAGATCACCCAATGCTGAGCAGTTGATTTTTCCCGCAGATTCACCATCCGCCCGCCGATGGCTTTCAGATTCTTTGCAGAACCTGCCATGTGTCAACCATGAAAAAGCCAATTGCAGAGCTTTAGTTCAGTTTTTTTCTTTCAAAAAAAAACTTTTTAAGAGACAGAGTTCATCTTTGATCCAATTCCAAAAGGTGTTTTCTCCCATTTTTCTCCTAAATTCCCCAAGTCCAACCGAAGTTCCCCAGTACAAAACGACCTTCGTGCCGATTGGTGCCGTCGTACCATGCCATGGCCCGGGTGAAGCCATTGGCGCTGGCCGGACGATGGCAGGGCAGCGAAGGCGAATACGTCGCGACGATCAAAGGCTCCAAGATCATTTGGCCCGACCAGTCCCAGAAGGAATTTCACATCCAAGGCGATTTGACTAAAAACCAACTTGACCAAGAACAAATTGACCATGAACATTGGATAAGAGAGATAGACATACACACAGATATATATATATAGATACAATTAATTGTCGGTTATGTAAATAACAATATTATATTAATTATTATTATTGTTATTACTGTATCATGTGATATACAAATAGGTTCCCAAAGTTTTTTTCCAAAGAAGCGTCCATGGTTTTCTCATCATTTTTTCGTACCAGTTTTGAACAAATTTCCCAAGATCCATGTTGCGAAGGTGAATCGGGTGAAGGTGAGGGGTTGCTGTTGACCTTCGAGTTGAACGGCCAAGACTACGCGGCCAAAGTCGTGGAAGATCGCTTGGAGTTCAACGATGGCGACGTTTGGCTGAGGGCTCCCAAAAAGCCATCAGCTCCGCGGAAGCGGAAAGCTGTAGAGGATGGGCTGGGGTTCAGATGTAGCGTCCACGGTTCTGTTTTTTGATGTCAGGGGATGATGCATTGCCGCATTGCCTATTTCATCCAAGACATTTGACCAATGGCTTGTGCAGGACAGCGGAGTTCGGAGGTTCAAGGTGACATCCGCCAACAAAGTGGGCATTCTGCCCAAGCCTGACATCGAAGCAGAGGTGAAAGACTACCTGAAACCTGGAACGTTGCTTGCCATCAGGTCTTTAAGGGAAGGGAGGGGTAGAATATCATCCTTTCCACCGCCTAATATGAAAATATAGTAAAATATATTTTGAAATACACTCCTTAGAAAAACTCCGTTGAGTATTGGATTTCCTCGGTTTTTTTTTCTCCGTTGGTATATTTGACATCTATGAGGGGCTTGTTGGCGCTTGGTACCCGGCAAAGGCAGCACCAGAAGGTGCCATGGTCATTTCCCCCGAAAGGGTCAGCATTCCGTGCTTCGTTGACCTGTTTGCTGAGGGTGTTTGAAGCCTCGGAAGAATGGGTCGATCCGCGTGACGACCGAAAGTTCTTCTTTCTGGAATCACATCATGGCTGGGTACCCGAGTGTTCACGAAACCTGGCACAGATTCAGTGGGATCAGCATTTTGCTACGCCCTGTACTCTGCTGGATGTCATCAGCTTGGTATCAGCCTCATCCACTATTCTCATTTTTGTTCTTCAACAGTCCTGGCACTGCAAATGCACCAGATCCACGCTGTACTCCGCATTCACCGTATATTTGATTCGCTGTAGGGTTCAAAATAGCCAAACATAGTTCAATCACAATCAAAAGACATTTTTTTTCAAGCCGCCTCAGTCTCCGTCCCGATCTCAGGAAAGGACATCGCCAAGGTCGTCGTGGCGGAACACCTCACCGCTGCCCAAAAGCGCGCCCGAGAGGCCCGGGCAGCGAAAGCCGCGGAGGCAGCGGAGGCAGCGAAGGCGGCCACCGAGGAAGCGAAGGAGAAGGTGTGGTAGGGTGGCGCTATCAGCCGCTATCAACTTGATCAGCAAGAAACTAGATGTGGAGATATGTGGAGTAGAATCACAAAGATATCATGACTTATGGGATTTGGACTTTTCCAACATCAGAAATTCACGGGTTGGCCTCAAACAACCGGGGGCTCCGGTGCCAAGGCCGAGGACGGCACCGCCGCCGCCGACGATGCCGATGCCGATGCCGACGCCGCCGACGCCGCCGATCCGGAGGCCGCGGACCAAGCGGCGTCGCCCAAGGCGTCACCGCGCGGGGTGACGGCGGTGCTGGCGAAGGCCAAGGCAGCGCGACTGGCCAAGGCCAAGGCGAAGGCTGCGAAGGCTGCGAAGGTCGATGCGCCGTTGTCCAAGGAGGAACTCAAAGAGAAGGCACACAGATGTTCAAACCGAGCAAGCCGATGACGTGTTTGAGATCTTTTGAGACGGTGAATGGTGATATGATGTGTTTGATATTGTTTGATAGTGTCCATGGTTCGTTTGGAGATGATTCGGCCTTGTTTTGTTGATATAGTTGGTGGTTTCAAGCAATTGCTGCTTGGGTTTGCATTTTTCTAGGGGTTCATTGGATAAAATGCTGAAGGCTGCATGCCCTTTTCCTTGGGTTGACACCATTTATCTCAAAGGAACCAACCTGTTGGAAAGACCAGTCGAAGAAATCATCGAACAAGCTGGTCTACACTCTACACTTCCGACATGGGCACATGGATTCTTCAGGATATTTTGAATTATTTGGATCATATCTATATCTATATCTACATATATATAGACAGATATGTATATGTATATGTATATGTATATATATATATATTTCCCGAGTGCGTAGCAAGGGTTCCCGTTTCACTCTGGGGTCTGGGGGTTGAGGGTGTGTTCGCTCGACGTTGCGCAACGTCTGAGGGCCCTATGGCCGTGCCTATGGCGAGTTCTGCAAAAGTGGTCACTGGTCACTTTTGGGGTTTCAAACGTCGCGTAGTCTCGTTTCGCGTGGCAGGCGTGGCACTTTGTGACATTCCAACATGTTTCATAGCGCATCACAGTTCCTTTTGTGTGGCACGCGGAATACTTTTGCGTCGTTTTCAGAAGATGAGTTGCACTTTTTGTGGCAGGCGCAGCACTTTGGAGACCTCCATCGTCATTTCGCCTTGCAGGTGCGGCACTTCAGACGTGTCGTGTTGCGTGTTTTTTGCGCATCGCATTGTCAGGGCTGCGTCAAGTGGTGACAACGTGCAAATTCCGTGGCAGGCGTGGCATTTCGTGACATGTGTTGAAAATTGATGGAAGCCTCGCACGAACGATGTTGAGCTCGTAGGAAAACGTCGATTTCGTAGCTACGAAGCGTGAAAAATTGAGGAAGCCTGGCACGAAACGCCCGTTTTGAAGCTCCAACATGTCTCGTCTCGATGCTCTGGTTTTCTTGCGGCGTCGCCGTGTCTATAGGGGAAGCTGCAAAACTTCTCCTTTTCGAAGATGTCCAGACAGGTAAAAATGACGTTTTGTGTAGCAAGCGTGGCACTTGGTGACATTCTCACGTCTGAAAAAGTGTCGAAACTCGTTCTGTGTGACAGGTGCAATACTTGTGCGTCGCTTTCAGAACATGAGTTGGATTTTTCGTGGCAAGCGCAGCACTTCGGAGACCTCCATCGTCATTTCGCATTTCGCGTGGCAGGCGCAACACTTTAGACGTGTCCTATTGAGTGTTTTTTGCGTATCGCGTTGTCAGAGCTGCGTCAAGTGGTGACAAAGTGCAAATCGCGTGGCAAGCGTGGGATATCGCGAGAGTGTCATTTTGCATGGCAGGGGCAGTATTTAGTGCACGTCCGTTGTGTGTGGAATGTTATTTTGCGTGGCGGGCACAATATTTCGGACACTCTACACTTTCGACTTGGCACTTTACATTCCACACTCTAAAGTCTCTAAAGTGACACTCCACAGTATACACCCTACACTTTACACTTTACACTCCACACTCTACACTTTACACTTGAGACTCCACGCTCCACACTTCACACTTTACATTGTAAACACCACTCTCCCCACTTTACTCTCCACTTTGCTCTCCACACTCTCTTTACACTCCGCACTCCACACTTTGAACTTTGCTGCACTCCACACTTTACACTTTACACTCCACACTTTGCACTCTACACTCTAAACACTCTACACTCTAAACAATCTACACTCCCATCTTTACACTTTAGACTCCAAACTTTGCACTCTACACTCCACACTTTGCACTTTACAATTCACACTGTGCACTTTACAGTTTACACTTCGCATTCTACACTTGACACTTTACACTTTAAACTCCGCACTCTACACTCTACACTCCACACTTTACACTTTACACTCCACACTTTAGACTTTACACTCCGCACTCCACACTGCACACTTTACACTTGAGACTCCACGCTCCACACTTCACACTTTACATTGTAAACACCACTCTCCCCACTTTACTCTCCACTTTGCTCTCCACACTCTCTTTACACTCCGCACTCCACACTTTGAACTTTGCTGCACTCCACACTTTACACTTTACACTCCACACTTTGCACTCTACACTCTAAACACTCTACACTCTAAACAATCTACACTCCCATCTTTACACTTTAGACTCCAAACTTTGCACTCTACACTCCACACTTTGCACTTTACAATTCACACTGTGCACTTTACAGTTTACACTTCGCATTCTACACTTGACACTTTACACTTTAAACTCCGCACTCTACACTCTACACTCCACACTTTACACTTTACACTCCACACTTTAGACTTTACACTCCGCACTCCACACTGCACACTTTACACTCCACACTCTAAACTTTACACCTTACATTTTACACTGCGCACTCTCCACTTCACGAAAGGTAGCGTCAGCTACCTGAGTTCTCCGTGCTTCAGCACAATCATAGGGGGTATTGGGGGGCCAGCCCGTGCAAAACGTAGACTTCTCGACGTTATGTATTAGATATCAATTATAAGGGGGCCCCCCCCCTTCTAAAATGGTCATGGGTTCAATTCCCACGGGTGACGCGGTCACGCTCCGCCACAGTAGAGGCACACTCTCCATGAGGGAGATGTCCCTGTAGTCCAGCATAATTGGTTTGCTTCAATAACAGTTGCTGCAAGGGGTCTTAAAAAGGGGTGTTAAATAAACCCCTTTTCGTGCATCATTTCACGCTGCACAAGACACCGTATCATGCAGTCATGCTCTGGATAAAATAATCTTAGACTGCGCAAAAAAGTTTTTGGTGTATCATCTTAGGGGCGCAGCATTTTGACACCACTCCTCTCCCACTACACTACCTTTCGTCCGCCTCCGCCTGCTCTCAAGTTGCACTTTCCGCTCCACACTCTACACTTTACACTTCACATTTTACACTGCGCACTCTCCACTTTTCACTTTACACTCCAAACTCCGCCCTCTACACAGTACACTTTACACTCCACACTTTGCACTTTACACCCCACACTTGACACTTTACACTCCACACTCCACACTTTATACATTACACATTGCACTTTGCACTCCACACTTGACACTTTGCACTTCACACTCCACACTTTAACACTGCGCATTTTACACTCCACCACTCCACACTTTCCACTTTACACTCTGTACACTCCACACTTTACACATTGCACTTTGCACTCCACACTTTACACTTTGCACTTCATATTCCGCACTTTACACTGCACACTTTACACTCCACACTCCACACTTTCCACTTTACACTTCGCACTGTACACTCCACACTTTACATTCGACACTTTACACTCCACACTCCACACCTTACACTCCACACTTTACACTTTACACTCCACACTGTTCACTCTACACTTTACATTCTGCACTCGACATTCCACAGTCTACAATTACAACCCGCACTCTGCACTTTACACTTTACACTCCACACTTTACACTTTTTTACTGCGCAATCTACACTCTACACTCTGCACTTTGCACTTTAAACTCCAGACTTACACTTTACACTCCACACTCTACACTTTACACTTTACACTCCACCCTCTACACTGTACAGTTTACACTCCACACTTTACACTTTTCACTCTACACTTTGCACTTTACACTCCGCACTCTACACTTTACACTCCACACTTTACACTTTACACTCCGCACTCCACCCTTACACTGTACGCTCTGCACTCCACACTTTACACTTTACAATTCACACTGTACACTTTACAATTCACACTGTACACTTTACAGTTTACACTTTGCATTCTACACTTGACACTTTGCACTTTACACTCCGCACTGTACACTTTACACTATACACACTACATTCCCCATTCAACACTCCACTTTCTTCACACTCCGCGCTTTGCACTCCACCCCATTCCGCATTCCACAGTCTACAATGTACTTGTACAGTGACTGTTGAAATAATGTGTTTCACCAAAGTGTTCTACGTGACTGCATTATACTGCATTCGGGTTCGTGGGCTGCATCTTGTTTGTATGTTTTTTTTGGTGTATGATCTCTCTAAACCTCTAAAATATATATATAGAAAAAAAATATATATATATATAATTGATATAATTATATAATATAATATATATAAATAAAATAACCACTATGTCTTCATGTTCTCCACATCTCTCCGTGTGCTTGGCCCCGACCACGAGGTCCTCCAAGCAGTGGCCGACGTGGCCGTGGAGTCGGATCTGTTGGACACGGCGGAAGCTCTGGTGACCGAAGGACATCTTCCCAACGAGCTGACGGAGCAGTGCCTCGGTGAATGTGAAGGGAGGTCAGGGAGGCTTCACTGAAATTTTCCGGAAATGTGAACTTTGAAGGTTGTGACTATGACTTGATGATTTTTGATGATATTTGATGAATGTTTGATTCCTAGGTCTGAACCTGCAAAAGTCGTATGTAGAATATTGCCATATTGCCTTTTCTTTGGGTTCATTTGCAGTATGATGCAATCTGCAAACATGTAGACACCATTTGATACCGTTTTCTGCATCCACAAACATGAGTATATTGATGTTGCATTCTATGATTTCATTATGAAATCTCCAGATTCATCTGTATTCATCCCATATTCATTCATATTTTTATTCATGATTTTCATCCACATTTCCAGATATTTCCAGAGTTTTTCCGGCTGAGGTTCAGCCAGGTGATGAAGCTGACCACGGCGAAACTGAAGTCGTTGCTCCGTGGCGCCTGGTTACCACCCGAGGGCTCCCGGCAACAGGTGGCCATTCGACTTCTGAGATACCAAGCCAACTGGGGTCCAGCACCGGAGGACAGGGAAACTGTACAAAGGGGAATGTTTATACATGTTTATACATGTTTATAATATTTGATGATGGAAAAATACGGGATGCCTATTTAGTTTGATCTGTTGTAACTTTTTTGTTTGTTCAAAGTTTTCTGCTTTGGTGTTGGTTCGTGAGAGTTGTTTTTGGGTGAAGGTTTTGAACACGTTTCATTTGAAACCATCAACTCCACAAAGCCTTTCGTCAACGGAGGATGTGACCCTCTTCGAACAAGCGGGTCTGGCTTGCGCTCCCATGCGGCGGATGCACGGGAAGCACAAGGCCCCGGTGCTTCCTTCAAAGCCACCTGAGCCCGTGAAGGCACCAACGCCAGCCGTCAAGCGACCGGCTCCATCTGGGAAGGCCAAGGCCAAGGCCAAAGCGAAGGCCAAGGTGAAGAAAACAGCTGAGAAAGCACCACCTGTGGAGGAACTCCTGTCTAGTGGAAAACTTCCAGAAGATGCAGTTGATAGATATGAAGGTCTATGCGCTGCAACTCTGGATGATTTGAAGCAAATGACAGATGACCTTTGGCTTCCAAATCATGGCAAGGTCCATGAATTAGCCTTGCGGATCACACGATCACTGGCAGGTTTGGAACCCTTGGATGAGCCAATGGATGATCCGGTGGATGATCCGGTGGATGATCCGCCTCAGCCCAGCTCCCCCAAAAAACCCGCACCGAAGCGAAAGCTCCGAGCGGGCAAAATGGGCGCGGCCTCACGCCTCCGCGTGGGTCGTGGTCGTGGCCGGGGGCGCAGTGCTGGTGCTGGCCCCAAACGTCGTGCTGCTCGGCCTTCAGGTCTTGGTGCCCCGAGCAAAGGTAGCAAAGGTAGCAAGCCTCAAGGACCAGGCAAAAAGAAGATGCGACTTTTTCTCACGAACTTCTTGCAGGACGTGGACATTCAAACCACGACTTTTGGCCAACTCCGGGCTGCTGCCACCGAACATTTCGGTGAGTTGTCTGAGGAGGCCATCGCTTCGCTGTCCGACGTGGCAGCCGTGGCCATGCGGAAGCAGCTGGGTGTGCGCAAGGCGACTGCACCTGAGGCGCCACCCGCGGCACCAGAGGCGCCTGAGGCGCCAGAGGCGCCTGAGGCAGCGGAGCCGGAGCCGTCCGGGGAGGCCGTGGCGTCGCCCACAGAGGAGATGGAGCCAGAACCGCCTGAGGAGCCCAAAGATGAGAAAGACAAGGACTGAAGGGATTGAAGAGCCCAAAGATCAGTGGTCGAACGTGGGAACTGTTTAGTTTTGGGTTTTGGGCAGGTTTCTTTTTGGACAAATGTGAGGTTAAAAGAGTTTCAAAAGCTTGGTATTGAGTTTTTCCCACCACCGTTCTGCAGGAAGCTTCTGAAGCCAAAGAGGCCAAGCCTGCGGCAGAAGCCAAGCCTTTGGGCCCTGAGGCCAAAGAGAAGGGCGACGAAAAGAAGGACAGAGAAGCCGTGCAGCTTGAATTTCAGTGGGGAGACTCGACAGGGTCTTCATGTTTTTCATTGTCAGTTTCAGTGTGTCCCTATGATCCCCTCACCAATTTCCTTCAAACCTAGTTGCAGTGTGTTGCAGTGTCTACATTTGTAGATCATCTTTGACTCTGAAATGGCGGGCCCAACACCTCCATGGCTGCCATGTCGCCAGGACGGAAGTGACTCCGATTCGGACTCGGACTCGGTGTCCATCTCTCCAATGGACATGGCCGCCTTGCAAACTCCCGGCTCCCCGCTGCCCCCACGCAGTCCGGCCGTGCGGCCCCGCTCGCCCAGAGCACCCCGGGCACCAAAGGTGAAGGCTCCGAAAGCGCCCAAGGTGAAGGCGCCCAAAGCTGATCAAACTGAGAAAACTGATGCAACTGGAACTGCAGTTGCCAAGCCAAAATCCAACAAAAGGACACCCCTCTTCAGTCAAGTTGGACGATTGAAGGTGAAGAAAGATGGAACGAAAGTGGCTGAAGCACAACCAACAGTTCAGATACACCAAGCCCCCAGCCCCGAGCAGAAGCCCAGCGTGCCCAGTTCGTTTCATTTTGTGTCAGTGACTGGGCAGAAGCTGGATGATACCCTGTTGAAAGATGTCGTGAAAGAAAGAGAGGAGGAGATGAAACTCCGAGAGCAAAACAGATCCAATAAGATGATCTTGGCTGGAATCGAGGGCACCTTGTCCAAATTTGTCCAGCACTGCATCGTGCAGAAGGAGAAGCATCACGTTTTGTTGAAGAATGGCTACTTGAGTTGCAGAATCCGAGTTCCGAAGCAGTTCGTGAACCAATCCTTGAAAGTTGAACTCCTGAAGCTGGTTGAGAGCCTTGGTGCCAGCTTGGTTGCTGACAAGGAGCATACCAAGGCCGGGAAGGATGCCCAGGATGCCACGGGCTCTCCAGGTGCGGCAGACTCCGCGCCGAGTGCGGCTGTGTCTGACACCAATGGTCCCCCCGAAGCTTTGCAGATGGAGAAGGACCAGAAGGAGGAGGAAACCAAGGAAACAGACACAGCAGCGGAACCCGAGGAGGAAGCAGTGAAAGCAGCGGACACAGAAAGGAAGGAAGAAACCAAAGAAGAAACCAAAGAAGAAACCCAGGAGGCAGGCGAAGCCAAAGACGTAAGCCCTAAAAGCAAAGGCCTCAAAAACAAGAAGCGAAGTAAGGACGCCAAAGCTGATGCAGCTCACGCTCCAGCCGCTCCAGCTAAGCCTGCTACCTTGGCTGCCGTGGTGCAAGATGGTTATGCCGCTCTGCTGGTCTTCAAGCTTTTGATTTTGTGGTAGGAATGCTGAATCCAAACAACCATCAAGCCAAATCAGGGTTTCAATTTTGGAAACCATCAGATGCGGGCAAGCATATTCGAAACCATTCTTCACTCTGCTTTTCTGGGTATATTTTTGGGTTACCGCATCACCAATATTCCCTCCCCCAAACACTCTGAATCCGGTTCTTCATTTGTTCTTTTCGCAGGTTCTTGTCCATTTCCACGTTTTGCCACGTCAATAAATAGAACACTTGAAAATCTGAACACACGTGAACAAATACGAGCTAAGTTTATCTAAGTTTCATCTATCACATCTCTAAGATATCACATCGAAATGGTCCCAATGTATATTTTCCCATGTCTAGTGGGAAGTGATAGGAACCCCCTGGTCCTACGGTCCTACGGTCCCTTTCCTGCAGGTCCCCAAGACGCCTGGTCCCATGGCACCGGTCCCTGCTACGCCGGCCTTCGCTACAGCCCCTCCTCCTCGCAGCACCATGACGTCGGTGCGGAAGTGGATCATCAAGCTCCCTCCCAAGGCGTCCCGAGGAGTCGTTGATGTTGTAACATGTCACTGATGGAAGTGATGGAAGTAGAAACATGTAGAACCTCTGAAATCTATTGAAATCTTGAACATGGATGAATCTTCATGTTGAAAAGATTGGGATCCAGCTGTTTTCGGAGAGATGTAGTCGAAATTTGGCCACTTCTGGCTTTGAGAGTGGGAGTTCTGGTCTTCCATGCATCTTTTGGTGCGGAGTTGAGGCCTTGCAGAATTACTTGTGGAAGCATCCCGCTCTCCTGGATGTCACCGACAAGAAACTGCTGAAATTCACCGAAAGCTGCCTCGAACGCGTCGACATGTTGGAGTTTAAGGTGATCAGCTGGGATCCACCATGGCAGTTGGACAAAACCTGGGATGATTTTGGACGCAAGTTATGGATGGTTGATGAAGATAGCAAGTTTAAGAACACATATCACATATCATATGATAAGACGATAAGATGTTTTTTTCAACAAAAACCTACCCATATCAACATAGCAGACATAGCATTCTCCATGATTCTCCATAAATACCAGACAAATTATCAATTTTATCCATATTAATAGCCTTATAATTTACACACACACACATATATGTATATATATATAATTATATATATATAGTCCATATGTATCCATACGTATCCATAGAATATCACCATGGATGTGAATGCCGCAGCTCCCATCGTCCCTGCAAGGTCAAGGACTTCTTCGAGAATGCTCAGCAGCTCGTCGTTTAGGGTTAAACGTCCTGATTTCGGTGAAGCTGAAGCTGACATGGATTTCACCATGATTTTATACACTGATTTTGAAATATGATTTCAGTATATGAATTGATTTAGTATGATTTTCTGGAGTTGCACAGGTTTGATCAGCTTTGATCGGGAAATTTTCACAGCTGGTTTGGATGACCCGCATCCTCTAAATTGCACCGCCTTTGGATGATCCCTGGGAAACACACTGGCCATGCATTTCCCATCAAGATTTGGCAGCTCAGATTAAGTTGACCCATATCTTTTCAACCAGCCTGGATGCACAAAGAATGGATATGTGTGAAACTTGACACCCAAAGCTGGAGATGTTGGTGAATTTTGAGGCTTTAACCTTGAGGTTTGTTGCCATTCTTGTTGCCATTCCATGGGGGGATTATCAGATGGAATCCAATGTCAAACATGAATTCACCCTCCCAGAATGGAAGGAAAACTCTAGAGGAAACCCCTATGGACAACCCCATCTTGTGCTATTTGGTAGTCAAAACTACCATTTGTGTTCCATGCAATATGAAATGATTGATTACCATCGTACTGTTGCTCGTCAGGGACCTACAAAATCAAGATTCACGATGATTTATGTAACATTATGTAACTATGCATGTCTTTGCCAGTGTTTTCATGTTTTTTTCGAGGAAATATGTCAACACAGATTCCCCCCTACGTCCCCTACGTCCCCCCCGTAACGGCGACCGGTGGCCATGCGCCCCTGTCGGTCGCCTGTGGCTGTCTCCGAGGCGCCGTTACGGTGAACAGTTCGAGGAACGAAAGGCGCGGACCATGCGACAGCTGACGGAAGCGCTGAAGCAGAAGGCGCGGCGATGGAGAGAGAAGTGCACGGATAAGAGAAGATTAATATGATGAAATTTATGATATATTGATATATGAGAGAGATGAGATATGATGTAATATATACATATATACTGTATATATATATACTGTATATATAGATATGTACACACGAAAAGGCAGTGTCGTGATTCCAAGGTCTGGTACTGTAGAACACGGCACAGTGTCCCCTTCCAAGGTGGAGGATGATGAGAGGAACAAGAAGAAGGTCAGCAAAAGCCTGGAAGCTCAAAAGGACTGAAGCCGGTCTCACGGTCGCAGAATCTGTGACATTTGAAGCATGGCACCCTGAGTCTGTCGGTTTGTCGAAGCGAGGAGAAGAAGATGGGTGCTGGAACCAAAGTGGGGAAGGAGGACTCCGATGTCATCGTGTTGGAAGATCAGGCGATGGGAGGTGATGATGAGATCCCAGCAGATTCTGGGCAGTTTCAACATTTTCAATAAGGTTTTGATCATGTTTGGCCTTTTCATTCCAAACTTTCTGGGCAGATCCCAAAATATTGGACACGCAGCCATTCTGTTGGTTTAAAAAGATTGATGTCCAGGTTTCGAAAGTTATCTGCGGCTTCCTGACTTTTCTGTTGGGGGATCATTCAACTGGTCACAGTTTCAACCCCGCTTTGTCCAGGCGCCTTGCTGCTGCCAATTGGTGCTTCCATTTTGGGGGCGTTGTTTGTAATTATATAGTATGATATATGCATCTTCCTCTTCGCTTGCACCATCATCAGATGTCCATCACCATCACCATCACCATCACCATCATCCTCCTCCTCGTCCATCGTCATCGTCACCATCCGTAGCACTGCCTCCGTATGTAGCTTGAGTCTCATCCACAAATAAACGTGAGGGGTCAATCCTGACAGGCACCAGCCCAAAAAGGTGTGCTGTACAATCTCTTTTTCATTCTTTTTCACCACTTACTATCACAACCGCATAGCTTTCGTCCCCCCTGCTAGCTCTCAAGTTTGCCATGTACAATCGTCTTCCTACTTTTCTCGGATGGAGATCCACTCTTTTCATCGTCGCTATCTCAAGGCTATCTCTTGTCTAAGTCGGCATGGCCAGCTGAATTCACCATAATTTACCCGTTTTTCCTCTCTCTCTTTATACGTTACAACCACAGATGTCTCATGATGTCTCCGATGCCGAGGATTTGAAATGGGCCTTCCGAGTCCTTGCACCCTATGGCCTCGAAGACTCCGGCGCTCTTCTGGTGAACCCTCCGGCCTCCCAGGCGCTATGCTTGGTTTATGGACAATGCTAGCTATAAATGGAGGTTTTTTTGTAAGGCACCTCCATGGATTGGAAAGCCCCAAATGGTGGAAGGATGTGGAAGGATGTGGAAGGATGTGGAAGGATGTGGAAGGATGTGGAAGGATGTGGAAGGATGTGGAAGGATGTGGAAGGATGTGGAAGGATGTGGAAGGATGTGGAAGGATGTGGAAGGATGTGGAAGGATGAATTGAAACTGATACAATGTCAGTATCTGTTCTATTGGGGGGCTTGTTCCCGGCAGACCTTTCGTTGCCTTGATCCAGTGGCGGAGTACAATTCGGTGTCTCAAACTTGGAAACTCCAAAATGGTCATAACTTAGACCTGGAGCATATATATATATATACATATATATATATACACATATACATATATATAGTACGTGTATACTGCACACCCCCATTATGCCCTCATTTCCGGAGATCAATCCCCATCAACTGGCTAAGATTCACCATTTCCACGGAAACCCAGCCCAAACAATCGCGTTAGATATCCCCATGTTGAATATTCTCATTGCACCCCCATGATATCCCTATGAAATCACCATTTTTCATGGGATTTCATGGGTACAGTAAGTCTGAAAAAATGGCTAAAAATCCGATGATATCTCTTCCCTTTTTGTTGAGTTTGGCTTCGCGGCAAGGCCTTGCCCTTGATGAAGGGCCTGCGAGTGGTGTCCAGTTGGCCGGACTTGCAGAAGAAGTTGCAAGCGACGCAGGTTGCGGCCAAATTTCATGGTGAATGGCTGGCAACCTGGGAAACACTGGGGAAATTCACCATGAAATGTATTAACAGATATTAACATGTATTGAACTGTGGAGATATGAAATTAACTGAAATCAATCTCCGAAGATATCGAGAGAGATTCACGCATCAAACATAGAGATTTAGCCTGATTTAGCATCAAACATGGGAAGATATGGAAGATCTGAGATTAACAATTCCAAATTGGGGAGAGCTTCAGTAAATTCGAATTTCGAGTAAGATCAGCGAACCAGTCGAGATGGGGACTTTGAACCGCAGGAATTTGACTTGGAGATTGACAGGGTTGAGAGATTTATGATGATTTATGTCATTTTAATTCATTTTATGATCATTTTATGCTATTTTATCAATATGTTTCTAACACACCCCAGAGTCCCATCGTCCGCCGTCAGGTGGGCAAAGTGGTGAACTCCCTGCGACACCACAGTGACCCCAACGTGGCCGCTCTGGCGCGGGAGCTCGTGGCGAGTTTCAGGGTGGAGTGTCAGAAGCAATGGAAGCAGCGCAAGGAGATGAAAGCCACGGAGAAGCTGAACGACAGAACGAATCAGAAAGCGATCTCGGAAGAACAAAGCACGGAGAATGACAAAACGATGGAGAATCAACAAGCGATCTCGGAAGAGCAAACCGAACTGCAGGATTTGGTCAGGAGCTTGTGCGAAAAAAGGGCGAAACTGTGATTGATCATGTTTTTTTTCTCATGGTTTTTGTAATTTTTTAAGACTCTTTGTCATGATATTTTGGTGAGGCTCCAGCTTGGGTCAGCCAATTGGTTCTTCAGAACTGTTTCAGGAGGGCGGCGGCCGCAGACCCTGCAGACCCTGCAGACCCGGTCGACCCCCCTGCGGAACCGGCTGCGGAACCGGCTGCGGAACCGGCTGCGGAACCGGCGGCGCCAACAGAAGCGTCTCCTGAGGGCTGAGCAAAAAAAATCGCTGAAGCGTTGGCAGTGGCACGGCTTGGCAAGCATGGCAATCGCTGAAGCTAAGCCTCGGAAATGCTTGGAAGATCTTGGAAGATCTTGGAAGATCTTGGAAGTGGAAGTTGCAGCTGGCAGATGCATTCGGAAGTTGAAGTTGTAATGGAACAATGATATACACTCATTTTCATACATAACTACAATGACAATTTCTGTCAGGAAATGAGTCCCTGACACTCCAAGTGGCCATACCTGGACAAGCGCCCGCCAGGTCAGGTGGATCTCTGACATTTTTTGGTGGTCAAAGCCCTAAATGATGCTCATTTCTTGGAAGTATTTGGAGATCTTACTCCCGGCGCCAGGATTTCACATGGATATTGAGTTCTCTTGATCATATAGATTTCTATTTGATTCCAAAATGATTTATATTGATTTATATTGATTCATATGTGCAGTATATTGATTTATTGAAATTAAATGCATGCTTACTGTACAGTATGGATACTTTGATTTGATTCTGACCATGGGCACTTCGTGTTCAATGCACCATGGCTTTGAGGAACAAGCTCATGCTGCTGCGCCAGGAGATGCACATGTTGCCACAATAGGTACGTAGGGCCAATCCATGAAAGCTAGGCTCAAACAAACATGCAGGTGATACAACATGAATTGCTGATTTAAAACTATGAAAGTCCAAGATCTTAGTACCAACCGGTTACCAACCACCAATCAAAAGTTGAGAAACTGCAACTACTTAGCTTGTGCACGCGCAAAGGTGCATGAAGACGCCATGCAATCCAGTTTTGTACCAATCTGTGCGATCTGAAGGTTGAACCTGAACCACTGTGAAGTGTTTCTGCAACTTCATTCGTTGTGAGCTGCAAGTTTTTGCCGCAAGCTTAGCGCAAGCGTAAGCTTGCAGTAAGAGAAAGATGTCCGGGTGACTCGAGAGTAAAACATCATGCCCGCTACAAGAAATATTTTAGTACTTGTTTTTTTATCCTTCACGTCCATGGTGGCCACGCTGGGGAAGAACTCCAGAAGTTGCGCTGGAGGCAACTGGGTGCATCATGTTCCATTAGTTGCAGACGTTTTTGCCCCTTCCGATCCTTCCGGTCGGTGCACTTTGAGGAACAAATGTTGAAAGCCGGACTGGAAGCTGAAAATGCACGACTGAAGGCATGGGACGAAGGTTGAAATGTGATGCTCAATGATGTTGATTTTCAATGATTTTCATCGGGATTACTTGTGGGGTAACCCGCGATCCTATATAGTGGTCCAGGAGGATCTACAAGAAGAGAAAGCAGCCCATGAGACGGAGATGCTGAGGAGTCACAGTGCTGATAAAGACATGTCATTGATATAACTCAAGGCAGCAGACTTGTAAGCTAGTGCTAGTGGGTGGGAGCTGGACCTCCTTTCCAAGGTGCAAAGGGGACGCAGTTGCACGTTCGGTGAGGTGTCAAAACATCAGGAATGAGTTCAAACGCTTCAAGGGGCTCAAGTTTCGTCACCCGAGGCAGGGGAGCGCCACCGACGATTTCTGCTTCAAATCGGCAGTGCTTTGTTGCTCATCTTTCTTGTATCTACACCTATTCTACACCTGTTGAATGAGATTCTGGCAAACCCTGGCATGGCAACACCTACTCGATTGTTGTTTGCCACCTTTCAGCCCAAGGGATTCAGCGCTTCAGAATCCTCTTGGACGACACGGTACATGATCTCTCACCCCGCTGTAGCCAGCAACTTCCACGCCTGCAAGGAGAATCCGGAGGAGGCCGGGAAACAAAGGGAGCACATGGTGTTTGAAAATGGCGTAAAACCATCCGCAATTTAAGGGGGATAGGATGATTCGCACATAAACCTGCCATCAAATTTGGTGGCACCCAGATGTACAGTACCCTATTTTCAGACAAACCCACATGACAAATCGGAACTCCTTTGGTCCACCCTTTGCAGTTTATGTCTTATGTCGCAGCCTCTTTTTTACAACATGTCCGTTGAATTTGGGCTTGCACCATGTGGGCAGCTGTCGCAGGACGATGTTATCGTGGGCGACGACACGGACTTCCTGAAGATGGAGCCGCTGGACAAGTGACTTGGATTGCGATCAGGTCTTGACCTTTGATGGGTGCGCAGTCCTAAAGGTCCTAAAGCATGCTGGCCAAACGGATGGCATTTCTCGAGATGGCATTTTTCAGTGTTTTTCTGAACAACTATTGAAAGTGACCTGTTCTGCCCCATGATTTGCGACAGGTGGAAATCATTGATCTGGGCGATTCCCTCCCAAGAGATGAGCCTGAAAATGGAGATGCTCCGTTGGAGACGCAGGAACTCGTGCGGAATCCTATGCCATTGTATAGCGCGATGCTTGACCGCAATGATTCCCTAAATGCCATGCAAACCCTGCAACAAAGCGCATTGCCGGATTTCTTGTTTTGTCAATAGTTTATTTTGGTGCTTAGGTAAGATCCCAAGCCAAGCAACTCATGATCTGCCTTAAGGACGGCCCCAGAGTATGATCAGATGCTAGATGCCGAGGCCCGGGCCACCGGTCCTCAAAGCATTTCTGACTGGTTTGGGTAGAAGAATCCCCCAGTTACTTGACAGGGCTGCTTGTTGAAGGAGGTTAATCCGGTGAAGCATCATTGATTTTATAGTGCTGAAGTTAGATCGAACAAACAATTTGAACCATTTGATTCGCCACAGCACAGCTTAGGAATTATCCGGAATCCTGCTGGAGGTTTCTCTCTTTTTGAATTCGACTTGGCCACAGAATCCCTGCCCCGCAGCCAGGTAGCACGGTCGATGAGTCAGGATTTGATGCGGTTGCTGTGGTTTGGGAGACCTTGGTGAAGAAATGGTCGGCGGAGGGTGCTGAGAAAGTTGACCAACTCGTGGATTTCTGTGTTTGGAAGATGGTGAGATGGCTGGTGAGTCGAAAGCAGCCGCCTTTCTTTAAAAGCCCTTCGATGCAACTTTTTCTGATGCAGCTCTGGCGGCAGCTGGAGGAAACGCCATCCTGAAGCTCGCAGGTGGGAGGACAAAGGCAGCAGCTGACGGCATCAAAAAGCTGCAGCTGCAGCAAGTCTACAGTGATGGGGGCTGTTTGCCACGCCTTTGCATCTCCCAGAGCCTGGGATGAAGCAATGAGGATTTTCAGGGATGCAAAGAAGCGCTGCAGACATGCGAGCAACTTACTGAAGAAATCGCACCAAATCCAAAAGGGAACAGAGCTCCAGGCAGATACAGTTTTGGAGTAGCCTCCGGTACGGGAGCGTCCTCCACCTGCCATCCATCTCAACTCACTTGTTGAGTCGTGCAGGAGTGACGTTGGACCCACTGTTTTCCAAGATCTTCAGCAAGGATAGCAAGGCCGACTTCATGTGCTACAGTGGTGGTGGAGATTTGTTTGTGCGTGGTGTGCAGGAATATCAGTTCCTACATGGCGACATGCGCGACATGCAGATGAATCCAGATGATGTGATGATGCCTCCGCCATTCCTCTTGGTCAACTTCTGCGTCCAAGCGTTGACGACCAATGGCCGCATCCGCATGGTGCCAGGGAAGACGGAGCTGGACTGGGATCGGAGGACTGAGGATTGGAGCAGACCATAGCAGACCGGATTGCCATCCATTGAGTTCGTGGTGAGGTCCGAGCCGGGAAAGATGCAGAGATGTTCCTGAGCCGATTCCATGGCACGTCTACGAAACACTACCAGAGAGGGTGCAACATCTGTCAGGAAATGGTTGCAGAAAAAGCCCAGAAAGTCCTGTTCAGAACGTGAAGATCCCATGCTCATGAAGGATTGCCGTGAACTTCCTGAAAGGCCCAGTGAAAAGAGAAGGGGTCCGTATGCTCTTTGCAGGAACCAAAAGGTGGGCTTCGCTCGGCGAATGCTGGCTCTTCGACTATTACGATGCACCTTGCAACTGTCGGTGGAATGAGACCTGCCAATATTTCAGCTGGGGTTGGCCGGTTGGATTTGGTTGGATGGCATATGGATGAAAGACTCGACATCTCTCGACTATGCACTTCGGGCGGGAAGGAGCTGCCGGCTGAGCGGCCTGAAGGGCCAAGGGAGGTGCGGTTTGAGGGCGGCCTCCGCGACTTGGCTCGCGGCACCATGACTGGGTGTCGACCTTAGTGGTCATGCAACGGTAAAACATGTTGGGTTGTCTCAAAGTTGGAGCCCCTAAAATTCATGGTTAAATAGAGTTAAATATGATATAATCATATATAATTACGTTTGCCAGTGAAAAGGCTGAATTTGGGGGATCCATGATTTTGAAACAACCCTATAGAGATGGCTTATGCCAAAACAATCCAAAACACAGGCTTTGAACAAGGGCAAGAAGACAAGACACGGAGAGTGATTCCTAGCAGGATGAGTGATGATTCGGCTAGATTTCGGCTGTGTTCTGACACTGTTTGTGTGTGATTTGTCGTCTTGACGTTCTCTGATTGCATGTGCAGATCCTCATGATTCCCGTGTGATTTTGTGTGATTCCACATTTCATCATATTTCCACACCGCACATCACCGCACCATTTTTGGCTGAACGGGACAGCTGCCGTCAGTGGGAAGCTGTCCGTGGAACGTGTTTCCACGGAGCTGACCGGCAGATGTGGAACCAGGCAGCTGAAGCAGCTGCTGCAGCAGCTGCTGCCACCTGGGGCGATGGTTGGGATGACCCAATGGGAGATGGTGCTGCCTACATGCCCTACGACACCAAGCCGCTGAATGGACACGGACACGGACACCAAGGTGCCAGTGGATCAAATGGAGCCGGAGTGATGAGAGTGACGAATGAAAATGGCATGAGCAATGGATATGGGCGATATGAAGCCGTGTATGATGAGCCAGGTTTCAATGCCTTCGTGCCCTACTACCAGGAGAATGTGAGCAATTTGGCCAATGCCAGCTACATGCAACATGCGGGTCAGCCAGGCCTTGAATATGGTGGGAGCAGTGGGCAGCTACCGCCCAGTGCTGAGCCACAGGTGAAGTGGTGGGTGCACAAATTCGATGAACGTGCGCAGTCCACAGGGGCGTACAAGTTACGTAGTGTGGGTAGCATGAGACCCACCAACCTTGGTCCTACACAGCCCAAGGGATGTCGCAACAAGGCACGGGAGCAGCGGGTGAAGTTTCAGGATCAACGCCTCATTCCAGACGTCCCACGGCCTTTGCGGCCACCCTGTGACATCGGACTAGCCATGGCGCTGGCCGAGTTGGAGAAGTCCTCCGCCGCAGGCCCTTTCTTTAACCTTTTACTATCTTTTTCTTAGGTTCTTTTTGGAGGGTTATTTCTTTTTTTCCGTTTTGGGATTTTTCTTGGATTTCTGTTTCCCTGCTTCTTTGCTTTTCTGCTCCCTGCTTCTTTGCTTGTCTGCTTCTCCAAGATTTCTGCTTCTCTGCTTCTCTGCTTTCCCTGCGTTTTTTTTTGTTGCTTCTTAAGCCCAACAATCCCCAAGATACATGATATAAATAAACCCTAAACCAATGATAAATAGACCCCAAAATAAATAACCCAAAAGGAAACTAAGATAGCCCTCAGTACACCGTAAGTAAACCCTGAATAAATGTGAAAAAACGCACCAGATAAATTCTAAACTCTAAACCAACCCTAATTTAGCCAAGCCTAAATAAACCCTGAACCAAGCCTAAATAAACCTTAAACAAACTTTACATAAGTCTTAATCAAACGTAAACAGATCCCAAACCAGACCTAAACAACCCCCAAACCAACCCTAAATCAACTCTAAAACCAACCCAAAATAATCCAAACCAACCTACGTAACAAAAACTAAACCAACCCGCAAACCAACCCTAACGAATCCTAGTTGCAAAAAACCATGCGACATGAACAGTTCGAGCACCAAAATGTTGCAAATATTTGTACTAGGGAAAATGAGAGGTTCGAACTCCAAAATGTTGCACAATACAGTTGAAATGGCAGCTTCCAGCTCCAAAATGCTGCACATAGCAACGGAAACGGACAGGACAGGAGATCAAACAAAAATCCCAAAACGGGAAACAAAATCCCAAAACAATTCCGGACCCCTTTTTTTTTGGGTGCTGATCAAGAGATTGTAGGATTATGGAAGCTGGTAGATGCACCAGATCCATGATATTTATTGACATGATGTACGACGCTCCACTAGATTCACTAGATGTTCCATGGATTTTGGCACCTATTTGAATTGGTTGGTTCAACATCTTCAACTGACTTTGGAGTTTGGACTGTTCTACCGGTCTACATTGTTGCGACATTTTGTGACAGATTGCGTCCCAGGTGTGGGTGAAGTGCGCCAAGTGGCGCGTGAGGGCTTTGAAGCCGTGGGCGAAATGCGTCAAGGTTTGGGTGAAGTGCGGCAAGTGGTCCGCGAAAGCTTCGACAAAGCATATTCAGCGGTGATTGTGGCAGCCCGGGCCCATGAAGAGTTGTGCAAGAAGACCGAGCAGTTGAAGAACAACCCAGATGCAGTCGAGAAATTGAAGCGCGCCAAGATCTGCACCCGCCACTTGGAGAACATGTTCCAAGTCTACTGGGAGTAGGGATGAGTGGGGAGTGTTTTTGAATGTCTTGATATGTTTTGACGTGCTATTTCTTGATATGTCTTGAGACAGGGCGCACGGGGCGTTGAGGATCATGGGGACTGAAGTTAGAGATTTCATTTCCCAATTTCCTGCGTTGCTTCCAGGTGATGTGTTGCTTTGGCGTTGGTTCGGGCTTACCGCTTGGATCTACAACCAGGCGGAGTGGTTGGACCAGCCAATGTCAAACACAGGTTCTTTCTGGCCCCAGAAAAGGTCCTGTAGCGTCCCCATTGGGCCTACCCGAAGTCATTTGAGGATAGGTACGGTATGGTACGGTCAAAGCTCAGACCGACCACTTCGGGAGTGCTCGCTTGTGTCTGGAAAGTGATTCAAACTTTCAAACACTGTGTAGCGGCAGTGTAGCGATAGCCCCGCCCCAAAGGTGATACCGATTAAGTTACCGATAAGTGTGCAGAATGTGCACAACAGAAGCTGTTTCATACAAAGTTGCATGCTTGCAAGAGGCACAATGAGCGGTACCACCTGGCGAGAACTTAGCGATACCCATTTGTTCAAACAGTAGCCCCAGATCACAGATAGACCCTTTCCTCCTGTCCTTTCCCCTTCCCCTCCTTTTCCTTTTCCTTGTCCTTTTCCTTTTCCCGAATGCGTAGCAAGGGTTCCCGTTTCACTCTGGGGTTCTGGGGGTTGAGCATGTGTTCGCTCGACGTTGCCCAACCGTCCGCAACCGTTCGCAACCGTCCGCAACCGTCCGCAACCATTCGCAACCGTTCGCAACCGTCCGCGCGATCCCCGTATGGCCGTGCCTATCGCAACAAGTTCTGCAACAGGGGTCACTTTTAGAGGTTTCACATGTGGCGTTGCTTCGTTTCGCGTGGCAGGCGTGGCACTTCGTGACATTCAGACGTGTTTTGTAACGTGTCAAGTGTCGTTTTGTGTGGCAGGCGCAATACTTTTGCGACGTTTTCAGAAGATGAGTTGCAGTTTTTGTGGCAGGCGCAACGGACGTGTCCATAGTCATTTTGCGTGGCATGCAATGTGTCGTGTTGCGTGTTTTTTGCGGATGGCATTGTCAGGGCTGTGTCAAGTGGCGACAAGGTGCAAATTCCGTGGCAGGCGTGGCATTTTGTGAGATGTGATGAAATTGACGGAAGCCTCGCACGAAACATCGATTTTGGGGTAGCAAATTTTCAGGTTCTGAGGAAAACTTGTAGGAAAACATCGATTTTGAAGCTACAAAGTGTCAAACATGGAGGAAGTCTCGCACGAAATGTTCGCTTTGATGCTGCCACGTGTCTCGTCTCGGGCCTCTGGTTTTCCTGTGGCCTCGCCGTGTCTATGGAGGAAGCTGCAAAACCTCTCCTTTTCAAAGGTTTCCAAGCAGATTGTCATATCGCTTTACGTGGCAGGCGCGGCACTTCATGACATTCCAACCTGCTTGATAACGTGTCGAAAGTCGTTTTGCGTGGCAGGCGCACTTTTTGCATCGTTTGCACAAGATCCCAGTTGCAGTTTCCGTGGCAGGCACAGCATTTTGGAGATCTCTGTCGTCATTTTGCGTGGCAGGCGCAGAACTTTTGACGTGTCGTGTTGCGTGTTTTGTGGGAATCTCATGTTAGGGCTCCACACTCTACACTCCACACTTTACACTCCACACTTGACACTCCAAACTTGACACTCCAAACTCTACACTCCACACTCTACACTCCACACTTTTACACTCCACACTCTACACTCTACACCCTGCACTCCACACTCTACACTCCACACTCCACACTTTACATTCCACAATCCACGCTACACTTTACACTCTACACTGTGCACTCCACACTTTACACCCCACACTTTACACTCCACACTTTACATCCCACACTCCACACTTGACACTCCACACTCTACACTCCACGCTCTGCACTCCACACTTTACACTCCACACTTTACACTCCACACTCTACACTCTACACTCCACACCCTACACTACACATTCCACACTCTACACTTGACACTCCACACACTACACTTTACACTCTACACTTTACACTCCACACTTTGCACTCCACACTTTACACTCCACACTCAACACTCCACACTCCACACTTTACACTCCACACTTCCCACTTCCCACTCCACACTACACACTGTACACTGTACACTCCACACTCTACACTCCACACTTCATATTCCACACTGTACACTTTACATTTTACACTTTACACTCCACACTCTACGCTCCACACTCCACACTTTTCACTTTACACTCCACACTTTACACTCCATACTTTACACTCCAGACTCTACACTCCACACTCCACACTTAGCACTCCACCCTCTTGCGTATTCAACAGTCTACGGTGCACTGGTTTGGTAACAGGGGAAAAATGTATAAGACTGTTCAAATAGACTGTTTCACAAAAGGGTTCTACATGACTGCATATCCATGTGTTTCGACATCTGTACCATTAACATACATGTGAGCATTCGGGTTCGTGGGCTGCATCTTGTTCTTTCCTCTTCCTTGCTTCTGCTTTTCCTTACGCAGATTTGTTCCTCAATCTCTGCAGATGCAAAACCATGTGTAGCAATAAGGACCCCGAAAACGATGCCTATAATTGTGCATGAAATCCTCATCTGAAGCTGTTTTGTACGAGGCAACGTGAGCGAGACACCCATCCATACCTTGGCAATACCTATTTGCTCAAAAAGAAGCCCCAGATCGCAGATGTGATCGACCTAAAGGTCCTGCTAAAGTAGTTTTAATTGTGAAGACCGTTCATGTTATGTTGTGAATCCTCGGCAAAGCTGCTTTCGGGCTCGTGAAAGTTACATGTTTTCCCCACATCTTTGTGTGGGGTTCTGTTTTTGGTTGTGCACTTCCGCCTGCCCGCGTCCTGCCCGCGTCCTGCCCATGTCCTGCCCGCGTCCTGCCCCCGTCCTGCCCGCGTCCTGCCCGCGTCCTGCCCGCGTCCTGCCCGCGTCCTGCCCGCGTCCTGTCCGCATCCTGCCCGCGTCCTGCCCGCGTCCTGCCCGCTCCCGCCGCCCCACACACACAACACACAACTTGTCACCATACAACTTGCTCACACACAACTTGACCACACACAACTTGTCAACACACAACTTGCTCACCCACGCACAACTTGCCCACACACAACTTGCTCACATACAAATTGTCACCACGCAACTTGCTCACTTACAACTTGTCACCACGCAACTTACCCACACACAACTTGTCCACACACAACTTGCTCACACACAACTTGCTCACACACACACAACCTGACCACACACAACCTGTCACCACACAACTTGCTCACACACAACTTACTCACACACAACTTCTCCACACACAACTTGTCCAAACACAACTTGCTCACACACACACACAACAACTTGCTCACACACAACTTGCCCACATACAACTTGTCACCACACAACTTGCTCACACACAACTTGCTCACACACAACTTACTCACACACACAACTTCTCCACACACAACTTGTCACCACACAACTTGTCCACACACAACTTGCTCACACACAACTTGCCCACATGCAATACAACTTGTCCACACATAACTTGCTCACACACAAATTGCTCACACACACGCGGCCATCTGCCTTCACTTTGCGTGGCAGGCGTGGCACTTATGGCACTGGGCTGGCTCTGGTGGCGCGCTTGGTTCCCGTTTGGCGCCGTGCGCGCCGCCGCTGTTTGCGTGGCAGGCGTGGCACTTGGCGACATGGACCGTCACTTTGCGTGGCACGCGTGGCACTTGGCGACATCGACCGTCACTTTGCGTGGCAGGCGTGGCACTTATGGCACTGGGCTGGGTTTGGGCGCTTGGTTCCCGTTTGGCGCCGTGGGCGCCGTCGCTGTTTGCGTGGCAGGCGTGGCAGGCGTGGCACTTGGCGACATGGACCGTCACTTTGCGTGGCACGCGTGGCACTTGGCGACATCGACCGTCACTTTGCGTGGCAGGCGTGGCACTTATTATGGCACTGGGCTGGGTCTGGGCGCTTGGTTCCCGTTTGGCGCCGTGGGCGCCGCCGTGGCAGGCGTGGCACTTATGGCACTGGGCTAGCTCCGGTGGCACGCTTGGTTCCCTGTTGGCGCCGCGGGCGCAGCGGCCTTGCGTGGCAGGCGTGGCACTTGGCGGCAGGCGTGGCACTTGGCGACATAGATCGTCACTTTGCGTGGCAGGCGTGGCACTTATGGCACTGGGCTGGCTCTGGTGGCGCGCTTGGTTCCCGTTTGGCGCCGTGCGCGCCGCCGCTGTTTGCGTGGCAGGCGTGGCACTTGGCGACATGGACCGTCACTTTGCGTGGCACGCGTGGCACTTGGCGACATCGACCGTCACTTTGCGTGGCAGGCGTGGCACTTATGGCACTGGGCTGGGTTTGGGCGCTTGGTTCCCGTTTGGCGCCGTGGGCGCCGCCGTGGCAGGAGTGGCACTTATGGCACTGGGCTAGCTCCGGTGGCACGCTTGGTTCCCTGTTGGCGCCGCGGGCGCAGCGGCCTTGCGTGGCAGGCGTGGCACTTGGCGGCAGGCGTGGCACTTGGCGACATAGATCGTCACTTTGTGGGCAGGCGTGGCACTTCTGGCACTGGACTGGCTATGTGGCTCTGGTGGCGCGCTTGGTTCCCGTTTGGCGCCGTGGGCGGCAGGCGTGGCACTTGGCGACATGGACCGTCACTTACATCCACGCTGCCAGTGAGCCCATCTCTTTCAAATTCGACTTTGTCACACACACACAACTTTGTCACGCGCAATCTTTCACATCTCTCTCTCACATGCAGCTTTATCGCGCGCAACTTTGTCAAACACAACTCTTTCGCACACAACTTTTTCACGCACATCTCTCTCACACACAACTTTGTCACTCACAACTTTGTCACGCACACAACTTTGTCACCCACAACTTTGTCACACACACACAACTTTGTCACACACAATCTTTGTCACACAGAACTTTGTCACACACAACTTTGTCACCGACAACTTTGTCACACACACAACTTTGTCACACACACAACTCTTTCACGCAGAACTGTATATATACAACTTTGTCACAGACAATATTTCACACACAACTTTCTCACACGGAATCTTTCACACACAACTTTGTCACGCACACACACACACAATCTTTCACACACAGCTTTTTTACGCGAGGAGGACAACGCGAGTGCAAGGATGTTACATTTTGTTACATTGTACATTGTACATCCAGCAGACTGCAATGCACTCAGCTGTTTGTGCCAGGATGGAGAATGGGTTGCTTCTGAGGGAGTATACAGTCCCCAGACTCGCTCCGTGGACAGCCCCAGTTTCGCTGCGCTTCCAACATTTTGGAAGCCTTCTGGCATGAATGGAGAACAACCGTTTCGAATCGCGGTGATCCACCGCAGTGGTGTTCGACGTTGATGCGGTCCAAAGCAGATGGTATGAATGCCAGCCAGGCGATGACGATGATAATGATTTGTAAGAATTCAAGATGCAACTGTGCAGTTGAGTCCAATCATGTCACATGAAAAGCATGTGATGTCATGAGCTCATTGTTTCGTCGTTATCATTTGATTGATCGGCATTATGGCGGCGCCGCTGGACGATCAGGACGAAAAAGAACCCGTGCCTTTGCTTCCATTGCACTTTAGATGCTTCACTGTTGTTTGTTGACTTGCAGTGTTGGAGATGCACTGGGTAGGAGATCCACAAGCTCGTTACCCACAAGCTTTGATAATCTGTACAGGTACCAGATGAAGATTCTAAATGGATCTTGTGCATCGGGAATCCGCAAATCATGCAGGGCTTGATCCCGAGTTTGCAAGTGTGCTTGAAGCAAGATGCTCATACAAATCATGTTCAATGGGTACTTGTACTTGAGGTGGAACAGACTACATTTATTTCAAGCCTTTCCGGATGGCCGAGTTCTTGCTTTGCAACAACATGACCGTTACAGGCAGAATGGATGACTGGTTCAATTTGTACCGACATTGATTTGCATTGTTCTTTCTTTGTCAATGTGCCAGGAAGGCTGGGCGAAGTCATGATGTTACGCGGGGAGGACAGCGTGAGTGCAAGGTTGTTACATGTTGTTACATTGTACATCCAACAGAATGCAATGCAGTCAGCGTGTTGTGTCAGGATGGAGAATTGGTTGCTTCTAAAGGAATATGCAACCCCCATGCTCCGTGGAGGTTGTGCAGCCCGCGCTTCCAACATTTTGGAAAGGGAAGAGGCTGTTGTGAGCGGCAGAAAATTTGCTTAAATGAATGGCATTCTTTTTTGCAAATCCTTCTAATCCAGATATGAACAGGTTGCACTTTAAGCACATACTTGCATCTGTCACCCAACAATGTGCTACTTTTCACCCAACTATGTGCTCAAAATTGCCATAAATCAAGAAAGGCAGGTTTATTCAGAAATTATTGGACATCTATAATAGGTACCAGTGACTTAGGACTTGTGAAAGATACCCCGGGGTGGCCAAGTCCTATCTCATCATGCGTCGGACCCCCCTGGACAAGTCCCAACTCATCAGGTGTCCGTCTGAGATTAGAAACTATGCTTGACTTTTTTTGATTTGCTGAGAGGTATTGTTTTTTTCAAGAATCTAGTGCGACATGGACCATTCGCAAAACAATTATGACATGGGAATGAACTAGCAGAAATATATTAAGATGGGCCTAGGTCATCATGCTCGTGGGCTGCAGCTATTTGGCTTAATGTAATTTACTGTTATGATGCCCTTTGGAATTAAAACCGATTAAACAAACTACAAAATAGTTTTGAAAAATAAGTGATTTTCATTTTTTCGTTCGATACATATATATATATCTATAATTACAGAAATATTTTTAAAGCAATGAAATAGATTTTAAACATCAAAATGTGACTATTGTTTTTTCACTTTTCATCTTTCTCTGCTGTTTCCCGTTTTGTTTTCCCATTGTGCTTCCCCGTTCCGTTCCCCGTTATATTATATCGTTGTGTTCCCCCTCTGAATTCCGGACCCGGAGGGCCTGTCAACCCATCCGGACCCGGAGGGCCTGTCATTGTGCCCCTCTGGTGACATACGATTTTGTGCACCAAGTCCTTTGCATGTATGCAATGTAATATAATGTACTGTTATGATTTTCTTTTGTATTAAAACCGATTAAACAAAATTCAAACATATTTCAAAAATATGTGATTTTCATTTTTTCATTCGATTTATATACATACATAATCTTAAAGCAATTAAATAAGTCTAAAGTATGTGTACGTTCAAAACCCTTCTGATTATGGTATTCGCGTATTCGCAGGAGATTGCAACTATCACGATCCCGGCAATGTATGCCTGGATTTCTGTTATTTTGTACTGCAGCTGTGGAAGTTCGTGCTGCCAACGAAGATGTCATTGATCAATCAGATCTCTTGGCGCGACTACGGCGGCCCCAAAGAACGATCCGGCACGGGGGCTATGAACCGCCGAGGCAATATCATCGAAGCCTTGATGGCGAACGCCATGTGGCAATCGAAATGGGAGAAAGAACATTCTGCCAGGAAGGAAGAACCATTTGAAGTTTGGAATGATTGGCTTTCTAAACAGACAGATCATGGTCGGGCAATTGCCGGAAAAAAGTCAGCTCGAGGAAAAGGACCTGGGAAGTTCAATCGACAAGGGCGTGGAAAGAAAGGATCTGGATAGTGACCACCATGATGATTTCGCTGAGCGGGTTCCCATAGGTTGGTTTGGCAGCCTCTTGTGGAGATGTTCGATATCTCCGCCTGGCATGTACTATGTACCAGCGACAAGAGCAGTGTTCTTCCCAGAAAAAAGAGCTGACATTCGATCTGCATTGGTAGTTTCTTGCTGCGTTGGAAGTCACGTATATTCAATGTTTGGGTCAGTATACTTTTGCGGTTTTATTGATTTAAGATGCTATTGCTATGAAGCACAGATTGTTACCAGCAGGTAAAGCTGCTTCCAGTTGGGCATTGAATATTTCAGCGTCGCCCGAAAAGATTTTGTCTAGATCTTTTTTCAAATTTTGGCTCAGTACTGAGGGAAAAGAACTCGACACCTTCCTGATGTAGACTGCTACAGCCATCAGGTAAAGCTGCTACCAGCTGGGGGTTGAAACTTTCAGTGTCACCAAAAGTGGTTTTGTCTACATTTTTTCTCAAAATTTGGCTCAGTAATGAGGGAAAAAAATCGACGCCTTCTTGATGTAGACTGCTACAGCCATCAGGTAAAGCTGCTACCAGCTGGGCGTTGAAACTTTCAGTGTCACCAAAAGTGGTTTTGTCTACATTTTTTCCTCAAAATTTGGCTCAGTAATGAAGGAAAAAAATCGACGCCTTCTTGATGTAGACTGCTGCAGCCATCAGGTCAAGCTGCTACCAGCTGGGCGTTGAAAATTTCAGTGTCACCAAAAGTGGTTATGTCTCGATCTTTTTCAAAATTTGGCTCAATACTTTAAGGAAAAACTCGATGCCTTCCTGATGTAGATTGCTACAGCCATCAGGTAAAGCTGCTACCAGCTGGGTGTTGAACATTTCAGTGTCACCAAAAGTGTTTTTTTTAGATCTTTTCAGATTTTGCTTCAATACTTAGGGGAAAAACCCGACGCCTTCCTGATGTAGACTGCTACAGCCATCAGGTAAAGCTGCTACCAGCTGGGCGTTGAAAATTTCAGTGTCACCAAAAGTGGTTTTGTCTAGATCTTTGCAAATTTTGGCTCAGTACTTGGGGAAAAAATCGACGCCTTCCTGATGTAGACTCCTGCAGCCGTCAGGTCAAGCTGCTACCAGCTGGGCGTTGAACATTTCAGTGTCACCAAAAGTGGTTTTGTCTACTTTTTTTCTCAAAATTTGGCTCCATACTTTAAGGAAAAACTCGACGCCTTCCTGATGTAGATTGCTACAGCCATTAGGTAAAGCTGCTAATATAGATGGATAAAAACACAAAAATTTGAACACGTCGCCCTATTTTTGCTGGATGCTTGGAGTGTCTAGGTGCACCGAACAGCAACATGCTTGGTCAACACCCCCCACACCTCCAAAGCACCAAAGCACGGAAGCAGGCTACCCTGCACCAGATCTTCATACAAGAGCCATGGCTGATTCCGAGAAGTTGGCCGCCTGAGGAAGTCCGTGACACCAACAATACGCCACCTAGAAATGTCGGATTTGGCAAGTATTAGCTCGGATGTTTGGCTTGCAGCCAAGTTTGAAACCTCAAGAAAAGTGGGTTGAATTCTAACATAGCAATTTTGTCAGCCCACCGGTAAGCCATTTTCAATCCAATGCCAATTCAAGTTCAGCGCTTGGCTGATGTCAACCACAAGTTATTGATCAACTTAACGGCGCAATTCAACAACCCAAGAATTTGACAGAACGTGCGCTCATTTATTTTAGGGGCCCCAAGACTTTGGTGGTGTCACCCTGTTTGGGGGGAAATCCATCCCCGATTGCGCAGTCCATATATCAACATGGCCCGGGACCAGAAGGAACTTGCCTACAAGAATGTAAGCCTGACGTCCGGTGAGGACCAGGAGTGTGTTGGGCAAGTCTGGGCATTGTTTTTTGAAAATGGCTACAGCATGGCCAAGTTGGTTTAGTTCAGCATGTTAGGCGTTTGGTTGAGTTTAGATATATCCGGTTAGTTAGATGGATGACCAAAAGCCGCAAAGAATGTTGCAAGTAACTGGTCGGCATCATCTTGTAGCAGACATTTGTTGCTGGATGCTGTTATCATCTCATTGCAGGCTTGTTTTGTGCTACGAGCTTGATGCTGTTGGGTAGAAGGTGTGGTGATATTCCCGTATGGCTTGCATGTTCTTACTGACATGCACCTTGTGCCCAAAAGCCTTTTGTAACCAAGCTTTGCCCCCAGACTCGTCCTTAGTTTTTACAAGTGTTGACTCCTTAGTTTTTACAAGTGTTGACTCCTTAGTGCTTGTATGCTTGTGTCAGCACGTCAACCTCAAGCGGAAACACAGCGTTGGGTTTCAGAAGCGTTGCAAAGTCATGGTAGCATAGGTTTTAGATACAGGCAAAGCCATACCCACGTTTACATACCATGAGATTCATCTATCGAGATTTGTTGCAGTAGGAACATGTTGTGAAAAAGGTGACCTTGTAGCAATTAAACAGTCGCAATTAAACAGTCACTGTCCCTAGGTCATGATTATGCGCAGGTGTTTCAGCGAAGCGCGCAATTTTCCACAGGACCCTTTAGCGCCAAGATTCATTTTGACACATTTAGGTCTGCAGGGCATCACCGCTTCACAGGCCATTTTTTGCTTTCCTAACAAAGCCGCTGAAGACCCTTGATGCTGACTATATTGATGCAAAAACCTGTCCGAGGTGAATGCAGAAGAAAAAAGGCAAAGAGTATGAAAAGATATTGCTGTTGATTGAAGTTGGCTGACACGAGAAGTGTTTTCTTCTGCCGTCTGTGAAAATAGGTCCCGGCCGGTACACCATCGGGAGCTTCGGGGGGATTGAGGCCGCCGGAGCAGCGAGTCAAAGCGTGGCGGCGATCCTTTCTCTTGTTGTTTGCCGTCGGCGCAGTCGGCGCATGTCGACACAGCTGCACTCGTCTGACAGACTAGATGGTAGTTCGCCTTGCAAACGTTTCTGTGTCGACAACGAGAGCTTCCTTTGTCGTGATGTTACTTTAGTTGAGTCGTTACTGTCATCGCCGAAGGTCTGTGTGACAATTACAAGTGACAGAGTGGTGACCAGAAAGTGACAAATCAATGTGTGTGACTCGTTGCCACGTTTTGAATTTGCAACGAAAGCGCGTATGACAACTGTAGATCATGAACCAACACAGCATCACAGTCGCTGCGCAAGCATCGCTTGCATGTTCTTGTGTGAAACGTTGCTAGGCGTTTCAAAACAATTTTGAAATTTGAAATTGCGTATGAGACCAGTGGGGACTTCTGATTTGATTTGATGTCCATGTGAAAGGCTGGGGTTGGCGCATTTGCAGCAGCCCCTGGCATGCATCAGGGGATTTGCGCAGCTGCTGCAGTCCCTATATATTCGTTTTTCAGCGCAATGCCAGTACACGAAAGATTCCTTACATGAAAGATTCGTTTTCGGTTTTGATAAAAAGCACGAACATGTTGCAATTGGTCATCGAAAGTGTCTTGGGGCGGTTGCAAAGTGCGGCCTGCAAAACATGTGCGGCGCACGCGTTTGAATTATTCTACTTTCAGTGAAATTCTCGTGCAGGTTGATGTCCGGACCACGGGGTGGTCGGACCCAGGACGAGAAGAAAGCGGACCGCCCATGCGAGCCTTAGCGTTACCAGCAGCATCAGCAGCACCATCATCGTCAGCATCGTCAGACGTACTCTTCACTTCGTATCTCCCAATTCCTCGGCACCGCTCTTTCCCCACACCTTCCTACTTCTCCCTTTGCCTTCCTGGCTGGCTTTCGTCCTTTGCGCCTTTGGTGGGCTGCAAAAGTTGCGATTTTGCCACAGATGGTGCGGATTTTGGCTAAGACCGTGCCTATCCATTGCATGTTTGCATTCAAAGCCAGGCTGATCACATAGTAGCGGCCGATGCTTGGTTGTGTTTGTTCACTTGATGGACATGTGACATGTGTGTTTGGCGCGAGTCGAGGTTGCCAACCTTTGCCAGCCATCTGAAACTGTCAGCTAAAAGGGCCGCCGTTGAGTTTGCTGAACAGGTGCTTTGTGATCGAGATTGCGGGCAGCAGAAGGAGTTTGGCGCTTTCAAATAAATAATTACGTTGTTGTATCTTTTCACAGAAGAATACAACGTCGTGAGTGTGTGGTCGTTTCTTGTTAGCTTTGCAGATTTCTGTGGCCTTTCGAGGGCAGTTTCCGAAAATGGGGAACCTTCAGCGGTTGCGTAGCCAATGTGGTGACATTTTTGGTGTTTGTGTGAGCGGCAGCAGCAGCAGCAGAAACCTTCACGGGCAGGCGTGTGATGTTTTTGTTTTTTGTTTCAAGTTGGCCGGTGCCATTCACCCGCAGGAAGCAAGGGCCAAAACAGCCGCATACAGCTTTCGATTGGCAACCGCTTACTTTGTGACATTGCGTGGCTGAAGATGTATGCTCGCTGGTTTGTCAACATGTTCCTATGGCTTTGCCCGCTTTGCGTGTTTGGGCATTGCCGAAGTATTTTGTGTTGGTAGATTGACAGGTGCCATGTCTACGTGACATTTCCAAACAACATTTGTCAAGAAGCATTGCTAGCCATCTCTGAAACATTTCCAAGCAAGGCTGCTACAGCACCATAACAGTAATCGGAGAACAGTAGCCAGGCATTGTCAGATTTGATATCCAACGTCAGAACTGTGACAAGATTAGCCCATATTCACGACAACCCAGCCATTCAAAAAGATATACACAATAGCTCCTCTGTTCTTTTTAGGGTCTGTGCAACCTAATTGCCTGGCCTTGCCTGGATTGCACGTGGCTCACAGGAGCTATCAGACATCTGATTCAGTCAGTTGATCTTAGAATTTTCTCAAACAGCATTTGATTCAATTCACATTAGTTTTGGAGAACATGTTTTCCATTTTCTGTTGTCCACTGCCAGTCGGGTCATGAGCTCACCAAGAAGTCATGAACATCTTGTGCACATGTTTTCGCCTGTTCCACTCGATTATATGTATATATATATATAAAAAATATACACAATAGAATGAACAATGTATGCAATTTCTATGCCGAGAATTTTCTTCTGATCCTGCAACAGGGTGCCATCCGTGTTTTTTCCAAGGCCAGGGGCTTGGATCGTCGTGAGACAGGTTTGTTTTACTCTACTGTCTACTTGATGAATCTTCTGTACTGCAAGTAAATACCAGAGGTACACCTCGTTCAAATACTGAACCCCTGCAAGTCAGAAATGCATGTTGTCCAGGCTCATTGAATGACTTAAGCTCGGGTTGCTGTGATAGCAACTTTCGGCTTGCTGTGACAGCAATCCATATATAGCAATTGGGGTTGCTGTGAGAGCAACAAACGATTTTGGGCTGCTGTGACAGCAACATATTGGTTCAAATATTTGGGGTTCCTGCGACGGCAACTTATGTAATGCATAGCACTTAGGGTTGCCGTGTAAGCAACGCATATAGAAAATTTGGTTTATTATGGAAGCAACACATATTTAAATTTTGGTTTATTGTGGAAGCAACGCCTATATTAGTTAGGGTTGCTGCGAAGGCAACATAGTTATTGAAGTTCCAAGGGTTGGAATCACCAAGACTTGGAGTCACCAAGACTTGGGTTTACTAGGACATGGCTAACCCCCCGAAAGGGTAGGCTAACGCACCGAAAGCAGAGGCAAACCCACCAATAAAATAGCCTAATTCACCCAAGTGTAGGCTAATTGACTGAAAGTGTAGGCTAAGTCACCGGAAGTGTAGGCTAACTCCCATGTTCTGTAGCCTAACCCCATCGGCAGTGTATAAGTATGAAATAATCCTGGATGAAGAATCTATATGTCCTAAGAACCCATAAGCTGCATCAGTCCAGTCCATGTGGTGCTATTTTCGCTGGATGTGAGTTTCGTTCGCTGCCGGTTTCCTGACATACTTTCCCAGGGGATCTGTGCTCATCCTTTATTCGATGGATGATCAGGCCAGGCATTCCGCTTGGTTGACGCAGTGACACGTTCAATTGAGAGCCTGATTCTGGAATGGTCATTTGTGACTGGCAGCGCTTCCGTCCATCAGGAGTTATTGTGAAGAAACAAATCTTACAAAGTAGACCTTGGTTTTTACAGCAGGGGTCCGTTTTCGATTTCTGATTGATACAAATTTTCAACCCAACTTGCAAATGTCACCAGCCCAGCCTCTTGCACTAGAAGCTGTTTCACCACTGATCTGTTTCAATTGGTTGTTGCGTTCCTTGAAGGGGCACTGGGTGCCATATGAATATTGCCGGTTTTTGCTGACTTGGAGAAAGGGCTCGAACAATTTTCATAAAGATTGTTTCTGTCACCATTAGCCACTGCCAATACACCGTTGCTTATTATGTTCGATCTTAGTAGTCATCGGCGAAGGAAACCAGAATCTTTGCGTCCTTCCAACTCATGGAGGAAACCATGAGGCAACCTGCAGCACAGTCCCACCATGATCCCACCACCGCCCCACCCTTTGAATTCCTTTGAACAAACGGGAGTATTCTTGTTTAAAGGCCTTTGCTTTGAACCGTAGCGAATGTTTGGCAGTTGATTTTGGCTTCCAAAGCCAGGCCAAGTCTTGGCGATTCCTGGGCTTGCTTGGCAACAGTTGTTGCAAAACTGCGTGCGTGTGTGTGTGTGTCCATGTCACTGGTTGTTGTGGTTGTGGTTGTGGTTGTGGTTGCGCTTGCGCTTGCGCTTGCGCTTGCGGTTGGTGTTGTTGTTGTTGTTGTTGTTGTTGTTGCTGTTGCTGTTGCTGTTGCTGCTGCTGTTGTTGTTGTTGTGGTTGTTGTTGTTGTTGTTGTTGCTGTTGCTGCTGGTGGTGGTGGTGGTGTTTGTCGTTTGTCGTTTGTCGTTTGTTTTTTGTTGTTTGCTGTTTGTTGTTTGTTGTTTGTTGTTGTTGTTGTTGCTGTTGTTGTTGTTGCCGTTGTTGTTGTTGTTGTTGTTGGTGGTGGTGGTGGTGGTGCTGTTTGTTGTTTGGTGTTTGTTGTTTGCTGTTTGTTGTTTGTTGTTGTTGCTGTTGTTGTTGTTGTTGTTGCTGTTGCTGTCGTTGTTGTTGCTGCTGCTGTTGTTGTTGTGGTGGTGGTGTTGTTGTTCTTGTTCGTGTTCGTGTTCTTGTTCTTGTTAATGTTATTGTTATTGTTCTTCTTCTTGTTCTTGTTCTTGTTCTTGTTCGTCTTCTTCTTCTTGTTCTTGTTCTTGTTCGTCTTCGTCTTCTTCTTGTTCTTGTTCTTGTTCTTCTTCTTGTTCTTGTTCTTCTTCTTCTTCTTGTTCTTGTTCTTGTTCTTCTTCTTGTTCTTCTTCTGGTTCTTCTTCTTCTTCTTGTTCTTCTTGTTCTTCTTCTTGTTCTTGTTGTTGTTGTTGTTGTTCTTGTTCTTGTTCTTGTTCTTGTTCTTGCTGTTGTTGTTGTTGCTGCTGTTGTGGTGGTCGTTGTTGTGGTTGTGGGACATGGAACGTGAATCATTTGTTGTGCCTTGCAAGTTGAGCTTGCTCGCCAGATGACTGCTAGGGCGAGCTTGTAACAACACAGGGCACCGGCAATGGAGAGAGAGAGGGAGAGAGACAAGAGAGAGGTGTCGTGTAATTGCTTCCAGGGAATTTCCAGGGTATAGAGCAGAAACTTCTTTATGCTTATCGGTTGAGAGACAAGCCTCGTGGGTAAAGGTAAGAAGGGACAATACAGGGCATCCATGGTATCATTATGGGTACCAGTTGGAAGGCAGGCCTGGTGGGTATTGACAAGAAATCACAATACACGGCACCCATGTGTTGTAAGTGGCGTGGTTAGAACTTCAATCGCCTCTCAGTATTATCTGGGGAAACGAATCTGGTCGGTAGCGCCAAAATAAGGATTGTGGAGCACCCAGGGGTCTCGCAACTGGAATTGAAAAGAACTTTAGCCTTTTGCCTTTTTGATAGTTGCATGAGTGAAGATTCAGTTTCTGCACACACGCGCGGACAGACAGACAGACGGACGGACGGACGGACGGACAGGCAGAGAAATCTCTATATATATATATATACACATAATGTATACAGCCATCGCCGCTTCAACTATATATATATATATCTCAACTATATATATATATGTACCTTGTAAATAGCCCCATTGTATTTCCTGCTGTCGCCATGGTGTAGTGTGGAACCTCAGGCTGCAGGGCACCCATGTTTTGTAATGGGAAGGAGTAAAGCCCCCGGAGACCGTTGTGGGCATCAATTTGGGAATGGGCTTGGTGGGTAGCAGCAGAAACTGCAAGATGGGGCATCTATGCTTTGCAAGTAGAATGAATAAAACTTTATGCCGTCACAGCTGGTTGAAATCCCGAATGATGGACGCAGCAATAAATTGACGCGATCTCCGTGTCTCCCTGGGGCGGCCCCTGGAGCCACAATACCTGTAAACAAAAGTTCGTGCGCTTCCATCTTTTAAAAGCATGCAAACTCACAGGCTCCGGACCTTTTTCCGTAATCAAGTGTTTCCACTTGCTAACTTGCTAACTGCTACGGACATTTGCCTGTAGCTCGGAAGTTTGCTGGATCAAATGGCGAGCAAGCTTGGAGGGTAGCGGCGAGAAATATCAATACAGCACGGCATGTAATTCGAGCCGGCAGCACTGCAGCCCTCTTGCCAGCACCTCGGTTTAACTAAATCAGATCGCCTTTCCCTTTTAATTTCATATCTTCAAAGTATCCAATACATATCGCCGCTGTACATACCTATTGGTTATGCACATTTTGGCATTATGGATCCCGATTTGCGCGTATATGTGCTCTATGTGTACGTATGTATGCATGTATGTACATGTATAAAAAAAAAAGATTTTCCCATTAGACATTTTTTCCGCCGCTTTTACACCTGTGAATATGCTGTCGCCAAGGGCCTGTTGCCCTAGAGGCTTAGAGTCTGGAAGCTCATGGGCGTTTCCTAACAGGAATGGGCAAAATTAAAACTGCTTATGAGCATCAATTTGGGGACACATCTGGTGCGTAGTGGCAACAAATGGGAATGGTTTGGTTTTAGTTAGGGGACAAGTCTGATGGGCAGGCACAAAAAAAACACAAGGCATCCACGCCCCTTATGGTTTGTATTGAACGTAGATCTTTTTGTGAATGCCAAGTGGGAAACAAATCTAGCGGGTAGCGACAAGAACAGCAATACAAAGCACCCCCAGGTCGCAACTCCAATGTGTAGACTTACAGCCTCCTTTCCAGTAGACCTGATACATTTGTGCGAAAAACATTAATACATATATAGATATTAACACGATCCAAGTTCCATAGGTTTTCTCCGATCTCATTAGTTTTTTTGATGCATATGTCTCCGCTACACATATCCATGATGCAGCCACATTACAGATATTGATGTCCAAATATTTAGGTGCATATATATATATATGTGTGTGTGTGTAAAACGGATATCTTCTCGCTAGATGCTTTTTGTAGATATAAATGTATACACATCTAGTGCCAGTTCAAAACCCACAGTCCAAAAGCTTCTTCCCGAAGTCTAAAGCCTGGAGCCTCAGGTGCGCAGGGTAATCGGAATGAGTACAGCCTAAAGCTCTTTGTGAGCACCAATTTCGCGTTTGTGAGTCCCAATTGCAGGACATGTCTCGTGGGTAGCGACACCAAAATCCATGCAGGGCAGCCCAGTCTTGTAAAAGGGTTGGGCATGTAGAACGGGTCAAATCTTTTGGGCACCCATGCATTGTAGTGGAGCGTCAAGATTTGAAATACATGTCTTTGTGAGGACCAGTTGGAGGACAAGTTTGATAGGTAGTGACATGCAATCACAATGCTGGGCACCCCCCATGTGTTGTACATAGAACAAGTAGAACCTAGCCTTGACAATGAATTGGGGGGCAAACCTGGTGTGTAGCTCGAAAAATTGGCAATGCAGAACATCCGGGGTTCTTGCAATTGGAATATGGGTTCTTGCAGGAGCATCACATTAGGACAGCCAGTTGGCATTCAAAGCAGCGCAAAAAGGAAAGTGACAGATACCATGAAACGATTTCTTGGTACGAATACTTCCAACGTGAAGCTACCTATCGTACTATTCTTTCTAGGGATGAGGGCCTATTTACCAGTTATGTTGGTTGTCACCAGGGCACCGGGCTTTCGAACATGGGGGTATGACTCTTTTCGAAAGTGATGAAGAACCATGAAATGTTGGGCTTTATTTTCAAACAAAACCAACCCCGCTATTCAAATGAAAGATGTTTCATAGATGCACAAGCCACCCGCAGGTCCTGTTGGTAGATTTCGCAATCTGATGATATTGCCATCTTTCCTGCTTAGGTGTGGAACGTTGTTTCATCAGAGTATTCTCTCCACCGGCCCTACTTGTGACGGACCCAGCAGAGATCATGGACCGCCCAGAAATGACAGACGCCATCGCATGCCTCAATTGAGGAGCTTCAGCAGCGTTGCCTTTGAATCATCCCTTGCATCATAGAATATTAGCAAGCCATGCTGGCTTCAGATAGAAACAGAGAAATCTGCTTGGGAATAGGTTACCACCTATTCTATCTTTATGGGGACATGAGAATCCATCTGCTACCAGGTTGCAAGGGTTCTTCTTCCTACCCTATCTTAAAAACTCCACTGGGTGAATTTGTCAGGAGTGGTCATTGCTGGAGCAGGCGCGAGCCTCGTGCCGCTATTGCAAGTATGCCAGATCGCGTCTGTTTTGAGGTGTGGGCGACCATCTTTGTTTCTTTCGCTTTCCATATTACCCACTGGGGCAGTGATCTGCAGGTATTGTTGCATATCTGTCTGTCTGAAAATAGGGTATTTATTCCATCCACTGGAGAATCATCATTTTCCTTTTGAAAAATAGGGATAGCACCCCGAAAACACAACGGAAAAATTAGACACGTAAATTCCATTCAAAAACAGTGATGGATTGAACCTTTCCCATCTATTTGGGGGTAAATAATCACTAGTCACTAGTCTTCATTAAAATATTTTAGATACCAGGGAATCCCTATTACATCCACGTTTCAATGGCAAATATGCGTATATTACCCATTATGGATACCTTTGTTATTTCCACAAGCTGGTAAAGCAATCGCAATTTCACAATGTTAATCATGATGTTCCCTTTTTTCCCCGTTCAAATCAATGTTACAGCTGGTTGGTGGTATTACCCATTGACAATGTGGGTCCCCCCTGTATATCCCATTACATCATGGCAACAATCAGCGAACTTTCAAACTGCCTGAGGAGGATGAAGCCAAATAGTGCTCCAGCGATGAGAGGCTGGAGGGTGGTGGGAATAGTGGTGGAAAGAAGGGGTGAACAATTTACAGAAAACGGTGATGTCCCCAAGGAAACACCTGAATTTTACTTGGAGAAAGGATGAAAAAAGTCGATTTCACCAGGAAGAAGCGGAGTTCAGAAGGGAAAAACGGGAGGAGAATTGGGATAAGCATTTTGAAGCAGCATTTGGCCGGAGTATGAGCCACCAAGACTCAGGGGTTGCCAGTTTAACTGCAAAGCATTAGGTGCCCCGCCCGAATGTTTCCATCCACGTTTACTAGGTTTACTTTCCAGCACACAGAGATGCCATTGGAAATTCCCTTTCGAACTATTTAGATAGGGTTTCAACATTGGAATGATGATGGAAGGATAGGGCTATAATGGGAAACATGGTTTACCATTCAAAGTGACTTCCAAAACAACAACCCTGAGGTCGCAGAAAACCCTTGGAATGGTCACAGAATGTTCCAGAAATTGAACACCCCTAATATTCACAATTGCCACGCTGCGGATAATTATCTCTCAGAGGTTTTCATGAGCTTAGCGTCGCTTGGAACCTATTCTGGTTTCAATGATTTTCGACATATTTTCAATGTGTGTTGCACCAGGGATGAAGATTCCCATTGATCATAATATGGCTTTGTCTGAAAACAAAAGGTACGCCCAATCTCAACCGATAGTAGTCTTATTTATATAATCATATTCCCATTGAAATAGTCAATCTGGGGGGTACATTCCATTTTCAGAACTTTTTTTTGAAGGTTGCAGATCGATCGCGGTGTTGGCCCAGGCTTCGGCTGGAGTTGAATCTTCCCCCAGGCATCGGGCTACGCCCTCAAGAAAGGGGATGAATTCGCCAACAAAAATGCAGATTCAACCAACAAAGAAGAGGATTTAACCAACCCAAAAATGTGATATAATCGGGATTAATGGAAGATAATGGGGATTATCTGGATAAAGTTGATCACAACCTCGCGCCGCGACGTCACAACGTAAATGATGGGAATGGGGTTGGGGTAACTGCCCCAAAATGGCGGTTACAATATGTCTTCAAAAATGCTCGGGTATACAAAACGGGCTTTCGCCATTTTGAGCCGCACCTAAAGCTAAGGAAACCCAACATCGCATGACAGGCGCTCCGTTCTCGAGCCACGACGGCCGTACACCATCAGTTGTTGGCTCGATCCATCGCGCTGGGTGTGTAAGCAAATGGCAAAACATCTAACATACCTTGATTAACCAACAAAAATGGATACCTTCCGGTATCAAGCATAGCTTGCTGGACAATCCGCTATTGATAGATTTGGTCCCAGAAAAACTTCCATTTGAAAGGCTACCGGGAAGGTATATCAAACGAACATGGAAACAATACGTCCATCTCAAAAGTTGTTCTTGCGTTGTTATGTGGGTTGCATCTGCAGCTTATTTGGACTATGCTCAAAACAAGAAATGGACACTGTCAAGAAGCAGACTCCCAAGCATGACGCTTCGAGATATCTTTTCACACATTTGGCTGACCATGATGGCTTCAAACTCTCCAACTTGCTTCACTCAACACTTTCAACCCTTTTAACTTTTTGCTCCACAAAAATCGCCAAAAAGGGAAAATGCTTACCCCAGACTGTGTTCACCTAACCCTATAATTATCACCCCCCAGCAAAAAGGCGCCTTTTTGGCACCTCTTGGCGGTTTCCCCTGAAGCGCTGTTGTGGCTCCGGGCGCCTGCTGCTGCTGCCCGCGGCAGTGCTGGGTGCGGCGGGGCCAGCGCAAGGGCAGCCGGCGGAGGAGGATGTGGCGATGACGCAGACACTTCGAACGATTAGGCTAAGCTAAGGTGAACCAGGGTAACTCAAGATTATGAACCTTTGAAAAAGATCATGGGATAATGATGGGTCCATTTCAACAATAATGGGATAATCTGGGGTAATATTGCTGCGATAGTTTAAATTTGCCAAAGGATGGTGACTTACTGGTGACTTAGTGGGCAATGATTTGAATTAGATAGATTTGTCGGGAAAATAGATGATTTTGATCACGACCTCACTGCGACGTCATTGGAATGGTGGTTGGAATTAAGGGGACTATGTCAAAATAGCCGAATTGCTGAAGTATCACATTTTATCAACATGGATGCAATGGTGGCTTGATGGGTATGCTGGGGATCAATGTGACTATCAAGTCATGGGGTTTCCTGTTGGGATTTTTGATGTAATGTGGATGAATGGGAACATAATAGAACATTTCTGGAAAATGACATGAAATAATTTTCAATGAATGGATGAACCGTACGTAGATAGATTTGTTGCAGCTTTGTTGGTAATTTGTTGGCATTTGTCTATTGGTAAATCCACTACAACTGAGGAATCCATAGGGAATATGGCGAGGGGCAGGAACCCAATTTGCCCCAGCATCCAAGATGGACAATTGCAAAGTCCCAGGAGCAACTGGATTATATTCGTCGCAAAGTCTTCGAGATCAAGTCTTGGCCTTGGCAAACAAGAAAGTCGCAGCTCGGATGACAAGAAGTTAATATCATCTTTGAATATCCATTATTACCAAACTCTTGAGCTACATCCAAACAACATTGAGAGCATGCGTCGCTCCGAGATGGACTGCAGCAAGTTCAGAGGCAAACCTACGCATTGCTAACTGTTTGGGTTCAAGTTTCCCTGCGGCCCTTCAGCCATATTCTGTTGTAAGGCATCACATGATATTGGGTTTATCTGAAAATTTTTGAAAAGAAAGTACCTGTAAAACCGATAACTTCGAAAGTCAGTGTCTCCCTTTCATTGACAATATTTTGGCGTCGAAAACCAGCACGGTGCCTTTAAATTATCTGAAGCACAGCGCTTGAGACATGAGTCCATCATTTTTTGAGAACAGCCGCGCGTTATATGGCGGCGTAAATCTTTTGACCCGTGGTATGCCATTGCTAGTATACAGTCTGTAAAAAAATACGCACATACTTTTTTATCCGCTGAATTCTTGTTGTATATGGTTTTGGTGTAGTTGGTTGTACGCCTCACATTACCAACACAACTTGCGCCACGGCCCCGAGGCGGCAACTACTTCCACCAATCCACGAGAGCTGCTTGGCTCAGTGGCCGAGGCACCTTCAGCGAAGTAATGGTGGCGCAGATCAATGTGATGGACCATTTTGGCTTTCAATTTGATTCTCGCTTCATATAAGTATATATTTATATTTATATATGTATATGCATATGCATGTACACGCATATTGTACCTACATCACGTAACCTCAGGCACATGTTGTTTTCGTTTGGATCATTTGGATATGCAGACGTTAGCTCCCCAAGTTTTATGCTACCTTCTCCCTGGCAAGTCTGGCGACTTTGGACTCTTGCCAACTGGCCGCCGGCTGAAGGTGAACCGGACCTGTCCTCTTTATGGCCGAGATTTGACGTGCTGATTTGGAAGGTCAGGGGTGGATGTTTGGCAACAGAATCTCAGAAACTTATCCCAGCTTTTTGAATTGACCAAAAATAAAATCACGCAAGATCCAATAAACATGTCATCAACATTTATTGCAGCGGCACGTTGTTGAGTTGTACAAGGGTGCAACCCATTTTTGGGCTCCATATGAGGAATGAGAACCAAGGTCAGCATCAGTCATCTAACCTAACAATCGCCCCAAAAAAGCAGCATCATCTACAATTTTCAACAAACCAGTGAATTCAGTCATTTCCTGGTGTTCTTGGCGTTTCATATAACCAACACTCTGTGGTAATTTGTTGCCATTTGCTTTTTGAACAAAAGCATCATATGGCCCAGCAATAGTCCTGATCAGGCCCTATGATGTTAATAGTGATCGTCCACAGCTTCATACCCATGGCCTCCAGTGACCCGCTACAGGCTGGAAGCCTGCCGTCGGGTGAGGATGGCCCCATCCAGGCGAAACTTCAGGAAGTGGCTGGTGACCAGGAAATTGGCAAAAGCATCGGGTTATAACACGCCTTCCACAACAGAGATATCATGGAGATATGGTTAAGACATGCTTGCATATACTTATTAACTTATTTAAATATCATCAGAAGGCAGCCGGCTATGAAACCATTTGATAAGATACAGATAAAGTTATTTTACAATTTATTCGAGACGCTGTACACAGACACACACACACATATATATATATATATAGATAGATGCTTTTCTATCTGTAATTAGTTTTCAGCTGTTAATTGAATTTTCAATCAATACATATACATTTATATCTATATAATTTTTACATTCATATAAACATTTTTTTTAAATTAAACAATCTTGTTTTGTGTCGGTATGCGTATGTGTGTGTTTTTCAATCTGTATACATTAATCTCAGTCAATAAATGCGTGTCTATATTTTAGAAATATAATTAATATAGAGATATTTATGTAATATTTCTGTATGTGCCTTTGAACAAATATATAAATATATTTACGGATATTCCATATCGTTAGTTAAATACATGAAACTATATATTTATATATCGAGAATATTGATAGACTTAAAAAATCATGCAAAATAGCTCGGAAATCTGCTTAGAATTCAATTATTCGCGCGGAAGCCTGGTGGTTAGCGACAAAAACAGAACACCGAGGCATCCATGCTTGATAAGTGGACTGGCTGCACCTTAAATTTCCTTAGCTTGTCATCAGTATGGGGACGGGGACATTTGCCATGTGCAGTGACAGAAATCACAAAACGGGGAACTTATGTTTTGCGAATGGGATGAACAGTATTTAAAACCCCGTTTTGAGCATCAAATGGAAAGCAAATCTTGTGGGCAGTGAGAAGAAATAGCAACGGGGAGCATCTATGGCCCTATTCTTGGATCAAACGGAACTTAAAGCCTAAACCCTTCTTGCCAGGAAACATAATTCTTTGTCCCCATATCATCATATACCCTGGTCATGTACACATACGCAATATATACTTTGGTACTTCTATGTTTTTCATTAACCCATTACACTTCCTGACTTTACAGCCCCATGGTAGATATATAAACCAAAAACGATAAAGAGGTAGATAGGTAAACAGCTGAAAATCTTCACATTGCATAAACAAAAAGTCATACTTCCGCCAATTAGATCCCGGTATGCATCCCCAGCATGCATCCCCAGTATATACCCCATGCTTTGCCCGCATTGCATCTCTTCTTTCACCCAGGGCCTCCGCAGGTCCTCCTGACGTGTAGGCCACCCATGGTGTGACAAGAAATAGCATGTGGAATGGGCATGGGGGCTTCAAGTGTATTTGTCGGTATCACATGGAGGACAAAACTGTGGATCATGGCAAGAAATCGTCCATGGCCTGCACTTGGAAGGGGTAGAAAGTAAAGCTTTTTGTGGGCACAAATAGCAGGACAAGCGTGGTGGGTAGCGACCGGAAGTCATAATACATTCCACCATGTGTTGTAAGTTGAGTGAGCATAAAAGAATCAAATTGCTTCATGAGTATCAAGTAGGGGACAGACCTGGCGGGTAGTGATCAGAAATAGCAGCACATGACTTGTAACTCGAAAATGTAAAATTACGTAAAAGCCCTTGTGGCCAGTACCTCCCTCCATGGTATATCCCCATTCCATAGAATATCTCCATCATACATATACCCATTATATTTCTACATGTTCAATTACCTACCTATGATGTTTCCCCACAAAAGATCACCACACGCATTAAAAATGCACCTTTCCGTTCCCATTCGATCATGTTGTTTATCATTGTAAATCCTGCTGTCCCGAACAGCTGCCTCCAGAGGGCCCGTCTGGAACCGCAGATATGCGGGACACCCATGTCCTGCAGTGCTACTGAGTAGACCTTATGAATTTTGGGTCTGTTAGGTAATGATAAGAAAAACGCTACATCCACGTGGTTTCATTAGACCGTTCAAAATTTAGATCTCTTTTTGAGCATCAAGTGGGGAGAAATCTCATAGGCAGTGACAGGAAATAACATTTCAGGGCATCCGTGCCTTGTTATTGGAATGAGCAGTCTGCAGGCAGAGACTTCCAGCAGCAGCGCTCGTCGCAGAAGCCTCAGGGAAATTTCAGAACCACACCCTCGGGGTGCCAGCAAATGGGAGCAAGGATGGTTTCAATTTATATCTTCCTGCGGCTCTATCGCCTATTCCATCGCCTTTTCCGTCAGTTTGAAGGCTCAGATGCATGTGAGCATGGCGTGGCTTCGCAACAGACAACGCCAGTGGACCAGTGTAGTTGATAGGTAAAGCTACTAAGCTACTTAGCACTGATAAAGCTATAGCCTGCGCAGCCCAGCTAACATAACACCTGATTAAATTACAAAAAATGATTGAACATGAATTCAACACAACCAACAGCAAAGATTCAAACATCTGTGGAAGAATCAATCCATACATCTAGGCCGCTCACTTTTGGTAGGGGTTCCCGTGCAAAAGCTGATGGCAGCTGATGACTTCTTTTTTGGCGAGGTGATTCTTGAACTGAACCGGTTTCCTGGCCGGACCACGGGAACTTGTATTATTGCATTTCTCTTCTCTTTTGCGCCGTCGTCTGATGTACTGTTGCGATTCATTCATTAATGTGGCGGGTGTCCTTCGGCGACTGTGGTGTCTGCGCCGTCTTCACATGTATGACGGTACTTGACATCTCAGTTGGCATCGCGAAAATATTCACTACTTTGCGAAGGTCTGCTCCGCAGATTTGTTGGACTGGTGTGTGGGCCCTGCATTCAGATGATATCATTTAGTTCAAGGCACGTCAGAATACCAAGGAAAACTTGCTGCTTTGATTGCGTTTTTGGCAGGTTTGTGTCGGCTTTGGGTCAGATCAAGCCCTGCCATCTTCGACGGACTCAGGTACTCTATTTGTTGCATCGCCTGGATCGGCAGGAGGCCGAGACTTTTGTTGCCTGGTCGGCAATATTTGGACAGCGCAAATTTCCAATAGGGCCATGCACCAAGAACCCAACCTCAAAGAATGTCTTCGGCAAGAGATTCTCAAACTTACTACCTCTCTTGTCTGTTGTAAGCGGCACGTGGGATTTCATGATTCCTCTGTATTGAGTCTACAGCTGACAGATGAGTCCAAGTGTCTGTCGAAATTGGATTGATTCCGGCTTCTTTGCAAGGAGATATTTCAACAAAGACCTGACAGAAGTTTGCTGAGATCAATTTCTTCGGATGGGTGCTGAAAAGCTTGCATGGCCAAGGCTGCCAAGATGGAACCATTTCTTGAATATTGAACAAGCAAGCAAGCAAGCAAGTAGGTAAGTAAGTAAGTAAGAAAGTAAGTAAGCAAGGAAGGAAGGAGGGAGGCAAGGAAGGACGTAACCCCCTGATTAACAACCTAACTAACAAACAAACTAGCTAACTAACTAACTGACTGACTGACTAACTGACTGCCTGACTAACTGACTGCCTGACTAACTGACTAACTGACTAACTGACTAACTAGCAAACAAACAAACTAACTGACTGACTAACTGACTAACTGACTAACTAGCAAACAAACAAACAAACAAACTGACTGACTGACTGACTGACTAACTACCTAACTACCTAACTACCTAACTACCTAACTACCTAACTACCTAACTACGTAACTACCTAACTACCCACTAACCAACCAGCAAACTAACTGACTAACGAGCTAGCTAGCTAGCTGGCTAGCTAGCTAGCTAGCTAGCTAACGAGCTACCAAAGTAACTGCTTATGTTCAATTTTTTGTGCTCATTGGAATGGTACAATCGTATCAAGTAGCTAAAGGATGCTTTCTCCCATGTGTTTTGCCTTACACCCTTTCCACATCCAACATGCATAGAATAGAAGTTGGTCAGAATCCGTGTCTTTGTGACAACAATGGATTCCATCAGTAGCAGTCCCGCGACCCTACTTATTGAAACGATTTCAAAGAAAAAGATTTGCGACCTTGGACCGTTGATGATTTCCCCCACTTGGTTCCCCATGGCCACATAGTTCCACCGGCCACTGAAGCAAATTTGCCTTGAAGATAAATTGCGCAGGTCGAAGGCGCGGAACTGGAACGGTCCGCGCCCTCATGTCATGTAAGGGCTGCTGTCCGCGGCTCAGACTTCGTGTCAGTTCAGTTTGTCTTTTCAGTTCATTGGTTTCTTTGGCTTTTGACACTGCAGTCCCAGCACACCAGACCAATTTTTAACCAACATCTGATCACGTTTCATGTCCGCGTTAGACTACAGCAGTTGACCGGTGCCATTGCCACACAGTTTTGAGTTCAATTGCTGACGCTTCTTGATTGATTGGTTCGATTGTTTGCCATCAGTTTCTCAAAGACTGGTTGGCCATCTGATCCAAGTTCGATACAGAGCGCGTGTCCATGTTGCCGACCAGGATGCCATTGGTCGCTGCCCTTATTGAATAATTAAAGAAGTTCAGCGACTTACGTTATAGTCAAAAGCGACGGCATATTGACATTTTGCTAGTTCTGCGAGGCCAATTCATCGCATCTAGTTCTTTTCAAGTTGTCAGTCATAACTCTTGCTGATGACAAAGCTCCAGGACGTCGTGACTTTGAGAAATCCATTGCTTGCGTCCAAATCTCGCCGCAGATAGAATCAACCAGGTGCCTGGTTACTTGCCAGTTTGAAACCATTCCAATTTCACTTGGACTTGCAGGGTCGCCCGAATCGAGTCTAGTGGGTTCACTTAGGTCTCAGCTCAGTAACGGATCAAAGTCAAATTCGCGATATGACAAAAAGTTTGTCTCGTTTGGCTTACAGTGATCAATGGACAGCTTGACAGACCAGGAAAGAATGCTTGTTTCAGTCTTTGTCGTCATGTGGAGATGCACCTCCTCCAACTCCTGGATCGGGCACTGCGTCGAGTCGGGCGGATTCCAGCTCTTGATTGAAGAAAGTTGCTTGCTTGAGTCAGTTAGTAAGAGCAATCATAACCATCATAATCATAGTCATAATAATCATAACAATCATGATCATGACAGTAGCAATAGTAATCATAGTACTAACAGCCAGTTTCATCGTCGCTGGTCACCAATGATGACACTCAGTCCGTGCAATGCAAGCATGTTCTCTTAGTGGAAGAGAATATAAATATAGGCCAGGGATGTCCTTAAATCGCCCTAAATCACCTCCTGGCCCTCAAACTCCATCTTTGGCCGCCACGGAGACAATCATCCAGGCATGGCTGTTTTGTGCCTCCAGCGAAGTTTGGAAGCAGGGCCTTGTACTGCTTCTTGCCCTTGAGGAGGGGGGACTTCATTGCAAAAGGGTTCTTGAAAAGGGGGTTGGTGCATTACTAGCTCGGGAGAAACACAATATAGTAAGAACATGTTTTCTTGTTTGCAAACAAGAACTTGTTGAAATGGCAGAGTGTATTTGACGTGCCGTCTTCAGGTGGTAAACGGTATTCGCCTGTCGCCTGCGCCTGTTCACGCCTGCTGTCCATTCAAAAGGATTTAGCCTAGTAGTCAGAGAGAAACGAGATTAATCGTCTTGAGCTTGACCCATACAATTTCGAAAACATCATGGCACTAGGTAAGAGCAAGGCACTGTCACCAACTTAGTGTTGCAGGGTGTGGGTATGGTTGCATTCATGTCCGTAACTTGGTCTGTTGTTGGCGCGGGATTCAAATTTTCATTTCTGCCGTTGACACAGCGCTAGATGCTCCACATAACTTATTTAACAATGTCAGCACTTCAGCTCGTTATCCTGTAACAATGCATTTCATCGTCGTCATTAGCGTCAGGTTTTGCATTTCCAGGGTTCCCAGATGCTTGACTAACCCATACCACACTCAGAACAAGTGACCGAAGTTGCTAGCATCAAATCCTTTCTGCATTTTCTGGATGCTTTGGACTTGGCGACTTTTTCCTGAGCTTGCCTTGCTGCAGATCAGATTGGACGATCTGATGTTTCTTGAGGCACCAACCAGTCACTCAGTCATTTGTTGTCTGCTGTAGCATCGGAGTCTACTGTGATTAATGGTGCGTTAGCCAACCATGTCAACTCTATTCTTGGTTGTTGTATCGGATGGGCAAGTTAAGGGCAGTTGGGTATTGTGCCAGAATTGAGACACGGGCTTTGAACTTGTGCGCAACTTGGATCCCTACGCCATGTGCCACAGGGAGGCACCGAGGGCACTTTGGCGTCTATTTCATACGCGGGCTGGAAAACAAGAATCTACATCAAGATTCCTGATGCCAGAACTGACCGTGGAAGGTGAGGAAGGCGCCCTGCATGCTCAAGCATTGAAATCAAGTTTTGCTCCGCAACCAGTTGGACCGCACTGAGATTATAAAATGAGCGGTGCTGATTCTGGAACAAGTCATAGGCGCGCAAGTTTGATTTGGGGTCTATAGTAGGTTATTTCCGTGACGTCGGACACAGCTTCCGGAAGGGCTGCAAAGGAAGGTCTGGAGAAGAAGCGCGGCATGCTGCAACATACCCCTTGCCAAATTCTGTTATTTTGCTTTGCTTTTTGGAGCGGCAGCTTTTTGGCCATGCGGCCCATCACACCTAGGAGTTTTGCAGGGTCAATGGTGCTGAAATAGCGTGGCTCTATCGGCCTGAGGCCCCAGGCGCAAGGAATAGTGATGCAGTTGGCATTCGAGCGTCGTTAGAGGCAGCCATATTTCGCATTTTGCATGCGCAGACAGGAGATGAGTCTTCGGTTTGGGAATAGACGAAGTGAGGCACGATGGTGTATGACTTGGTTTTCACGCAGGCAAAAAAGCTCCCAGAGTGCGTGCGCCCTGTGGCTTGAAGTCGTGTGTATCTTTGTGTTTCAATAACGGCGGGAATTTGTCACTCAATGGTGGAGTCCTCGGATGCAGATAACGAGTTTTCCTTTCTATAGCGTCTCTTTTTGCATGCCAAGGGTTTGATCATGTCTGCATGACAGACGTGCAACAGATGCCATGTGGCAGTATCAGAAGATTTTTGTGCCGTTTTGCTGATTTCCTGTCCTTCTTGGATCTTGGGAGGCAAGGGGGTTCCACCAACAGATTTCCGCCAAGGGGTTTCCAGCAAGGGGCTGGTAAGGGGGTTCCACAAAGGGGGTTTCACCACAAGATTTCCACCCACGGATTTTTATGAAGGGGGCTTCCAACACAAGGGGTTTCCACCAAGAGGGCTCCACCAAGGACCGACCTTCTTGTGTCCATTTTGAAGCCGCAAATTATGACCTCCAGCACTTCCTATTCGGATTCCTCCTGCTCAGCAAGCACGGTCCCTTGGCGCCCCCGGAAAACTTTTGAGGATCCTCAATTTTTTTGTCGGTATCTTCAGAAGTGGTTGACCATCGTGAGGACGGTGCGATGATATCTTCAGAAAAAGTTGCAGGATATCATTTTCAGACGTGCTTGGGAATAATCTCTATATTCTATTCTGGGAGAATTCCAAGCATTCTATCTGCCAAAATTCAGATGATGCACTTGGAAATGTCTGCCGAAAAAAACTGGATGAATACCATGTATATAGTATGCCTCTTTGTTTGAGGCCAAGTGCTACAACTGCCCTTCTTGACAATTTTTTTAATGCGACGGCTGAACAATGTCAAGACATAGGGCAAACCTCTTGGAGCTTGAGTAGGCGTCTGACTTCGAGAAAACACGCGGTGCACACTCTTCCATGGCCATCCATGGGCTTAATTGCTTTGGATTTGTTTTTGGGGACTTGCAGCGGGGCACAGGATAACTTTTTCATAAAACGCAGCGCAGCTCAAAACCAAATCACGCCCCCTCGCTGTGACGGTGTTTTGCGTCTTTGGGCCACGGGAACCCTTGTCCACAACCCCATCAACAAGAAAAACACCATGCGAAGACAAGCTTGCGTAGCACGAACGGTTTTACATCGAAGACACTTGCCGCTTTGAGTTGGATGAGCAACGTGCGGCGATTAGGCAAGGTGGGTCAAATCAAAGTTTGCCGCAATGTATGTCCATGGGCGGGTTCGGCAAAAAAGCCATGCGTGCTGTCGAGGACTGACGCCCGATGCGAGTGCAGGATGTTTTTTGTCCACAACCCTGTTCCTAATGCATCTAACACAAGCGGCTGAAAAATGTCAAGGCAACCTCTGAAACTTGGAGATTGAGTAGGTGTCTGACCCTTGTAGAACAGGTGGTGCACATACTCTTTCATAGCCATCTGTGAACTTCATTGCTTTGGGTTGGTCTTTGGGGACTTGCAGCAACACTGTGCAAGCTCAGGAGGCAATGCGACGGAGTTGAGTTCCTATCATGCTTCTCAACCTGTCGGAAACGACCTTAAGAACACCGTTAAAACAACTTGCTAGTGTCATCGGTTTTTCGTCGAATGCTCGCTTGCGGCTTCGGATTGGACCGGCAACGTGGGGCGATGAGTGAAGTCAAAGACTGCCGCGATACACGTCAAACCATGGATGGACGTGTATATATTATATATACTGCATCCATCCGGCCGGGTTTCATCTGCAACCAGACATTCGCATGCCCACGCACACACCCACACACATATACAAGATAATATTCACCGTGCGTGTGGTGAACGTATTGTAATTGCATGGCGTTGCCTTGCAAATGTAATGCAATGTAATGCATGAATCTAAGCACATGTAAGGTAACCCCATCTAATGTAATGTAATGTGACGACATGCAATGGAATGCAATGTATTAATCTAATCCAATGTAATCCAGTCTGATCTAGCGTAGTGTAGTGTATCTACGGTAAGGTAATGAAATGTAAAGACATGTAATGACATGTAGTGAAATGTAATGTATCTGATGTAATGTGATGAACGAACAACCGCTTGGACCCTTCCTACTCCTTTTCCTGAAGACGCCTATGCGAAAACATGGCCCAATCTTGGCGAGGAATTGAGGTGCGCATCTGAAGATCCCCAAGCTTTTCTTGATCGATGGATGTAGTACCTAAGTTACCACATTCCAAAGGTGTTTTTTTTTGTGTAGTGGAGCACGGATTTGGCGCGACCTGTTTTTCCAATTTATCAAATTTTAAGCTCACCAGCCAAATTGAAAAGGTCGCGCCACATACTCTCTCAATACACATCTCTCCTCGCCCAAATAGTTTCCGCCCCCTTCCTTTTAGCTTCAAGTCATCGTGGGTTGTCAGATCCTGTCAGATCATGCCACTTGCGCGCAGATATTTCGATTTCGCATGGTCAACATCTTTGCCTTTTCTCATTTTCCTTGCGCGGGTGTTTGGGGGATCTACATGGTTCGCATCGCATTTTGCAATGCTCTATGAATTGCAAGTGTTAGCAGAAACCTTGATTCATTTGCAGCATTTCATATCTGCTTGGTGGTTATTATTGTAGATGCTCCTGCGAACCTGAAGCGGCGGCTGCATTGACAGGTCGCTGCGTTGGATTCAATTCCAGCATGTTACATCTACTTGGTGGTTCATCATCATCTTCATCGTCCTTCATCATTCACCGTCATCATTCATCATCAGATCTTTTTTTTATTATCTTCTCGGCTCCTCCCTCCTCCAGCCATACTGTCGTCTATTTTGTTGTATTCTCGGTCGGATGAACATCTGCAGGCGTATATAATTTGGAAAAATTGGCGCCGAATTAATGCCATTGCGACCCCAAAGAACAAGAGGGGGCGAGCTAGATTTTAAACATGCATGTTGTCGGAGGTGGCTGCAGGTAGCCCGAAGCCTCTGATGTCAGTTGGGATTGAGAGGCGCAAGGTTCTGAGAAGGTCTGCAAGCCGGGGTGAAGTTCTTCAGTCAGTCAGTGCAACATATCACCTACCCCCGAATCATGTACTTTAGAAGGCGGGGAGAGGAATATTTTTATCGCCCTCCAAAAATTGATTCCCTATAGGACCCCTCTAAATATTTTTTTTTACGAGGGGCGCTTGAAAAAATTGGATTCACGGGCCGGGATATCCAGCCCACCCTAGGGCGGTGTTTTAGCACATTTTTGGGTGCTGGTTTTTCCAAGATCCCCCGGGTATCCCCGGGAATGTCACAATATTTTTTTTTCTCCTTGATAAAGAAAAGGCTTCGGTGGTATCCCTAACAGCCGCAACATTTTACATTTACAAATCTTTCTGAAGCACGCTGCGAAGCCAAGCGCTGAAAACACCTCAGCTGGGTTTCCGTGTGTAAAATGGCCGCAAAACCTGTTGAACCTGACCTGGCTCTCCACCCACGCCTCCCAGACCTTTCCAGAACCTTCTCCAGAACCTTCTCCGGAACCCTGTGGAACCCGGCCTGGCTCAACCTTCTCCGGAACCCTGCTGAACCTGACCTGTCTCTGCACCAAAGCTTCTCCGGGACCTTCTTCGGAACACTGTTGAACCTGACTTGGCTTTGCACCAAAGCCTCCCGGAACCTTCTCCGGAACCTTCTCCGGAACCCTGTTGAACCTGACCTGGCTCTGCACCAAAGCCTCCCGGAACCTTCTCCGGAACCTTCTCCGGAACCTTCTCCGGAATGAACCTCACCTGGCTCTGCACCTAAGCTTCCCAGACCTTCTCCGGAACCTTCTCCGGAACCCTGTTGAACCTGACCTCGCTCTGCACCAAAGCCTTCCAGACCATCACCGGAACATTATCCGGAACCCTGTTGAACGTGACCTGGCTCTGCACCGAAGCCTCCCAGACCTTCTCCGGAACCTTCTCCGGAACCCTGTTGAACCTCACCTGGCTCTGCACCAAAGCTTCCCAGACCTTCTCCGGAACCTTCGGAACCTTCCCCGGAACCCTGTTGAACCTGGCTTGGCTCTGCACCAAAGCCTCCCCAACCTTCTCCGGAACCTTCTCCGGAACCCTGTTGAACGTGACCTGGCTCTGCACCAAAGCCTCCTAGATTTTCTCCGGAACCTTCGGAACCTTCTCCGGAACCTCGTTGAACCTTACCCGGCGCCTGCACCAGTGCACACCGGAGCTATTCTGGGCTGAAGACCCCAAGGAAAGCACTGCGTTTTTTTTCAAATGGATTTTATACATTTTGCGCAGGTGTTCCTGAGTAGCCCCTGCAAGGCATACGTTTTCAAGATTTATGTACAGTACCCTTAAAAATTGCACGATTGGGTGGAGAGAGGTAGGGTCTACAACAAATTGGCGTTTCGTCCTTTGAAATGGGGGCTCTCTTGGGAAAAAAAACAGGCCGTGGGCTAGGACCCCCCTACCCCTTCCACGAGCCTTTTTTAGTAGCAGGTACCAAATATTCCGGGGAACCCGCGAAAAAGAGAGTACGAAAAAATGTGTTGAAGGGGGGTCAGGGTATAAAAGCATATAAGGCATATCATATATTTTAAGCGGATCCCGATATCTTGCTGAGGGGCTGCTAAGTACCCCATACCAAGCATATATTTCAGTCATGTTGTGGCCCAAGGGTTCTCAACGGTTGACTTCTATGGCACTCACTAAGAACGTTTTGAAGTGTGGCAAAAACATCAGCCAAAAAACATCTTATCTCCACCTACCCCCCTTGAAATTTAAGATCGCCCACATCAAATCCTTGATTGGAAACGGTATGTTTTGAATTATGTTTGATAAGCGTTGTTGAGAGGAAAAAAGGGGTTCACCAGAAATACACATATGACATATGTCTCAAAAAAATGTGTGTAGCTATGATTTGTGTCTGGGCACATCTCGTTTCAACATGGCCGGGTGCGCAAATAATTACACCACTTTCTCATCATTTCTCATTTCCTTGTTGTCTCTGTTGTGTCTCTCCTGTTTTGTTTTGGTGTCCCCGTTGCAATCTCTCCTCCTTCCCCCATTGGTGCTAGCTGTGTCTCTCCGTATTTTCCCCGGCCTGCTTTCCCGTACTATTTGGATTCAACTGTAGGAAGAAATAAAAGGACCGGATAACCCCACAAGTCAACTTCTTCCAATAATAAGCCAGAAATGTTGTAGCGGGGACGGGGAAGGAAGGGAAGACAAAGGAGGAGGTGGAGGAAAGATGATGTGTGACAAAGTTGCGCGTGAAAGATGATGTGTGTGAAAGATGCTGTGCGAAAGATGGTGTGTGACAAAGCTGTGTGTGAAAGATGATGTGTGAAAGATGGTGTGTGACAAAGTTGTGTGTGAAAGATTGTGTGTGTGTGACAAAGTGGTGTGTGAAAGATGGTGTGTCAAAGATGGTGGGTGACAAAGTTGTGTGCGTGAAAGATGGTGTGTAAAAGATGGTGTGTCAAAGAGGGTGTGTGAAAGATGGTGTGAGAAGTGGAGCTGTGATGGGTTGTGGTGTGAGAAGTGAGGTTTGAGAAGTGAGGTGCGAGAAGTGGAGCTGTGATGAGTGAGTGTGTGAGAAGTGAGGTGTGAGAAGTGGAGCTGTGATGAGTTGTGATGTGATAAGTGAGGTGTGAGATGTGATGTGATAAGTGAGGTGTGAGAAGTGGAGCTGTCATGAGTTAGTGTGTGAGAAATGAGGTGTGAGAAGTGGAGCTGTGATGAATTGTGATGTGATAAGTGAGGTGTGCAGCTCCACCAGGAGGCTCTGTGTACTGCCTGCCGCACAGGAGGCAGCCGCGGCCCAGTGGCGCCCACGCGCGCCGCAACTCGACCAGGAGGCTCTGTGTACTGCCTGCCGCACAGGAGGCAGCCGCGGCCCAGTGGCGCCCACACGCGCAACTCGACCAGGAGGCTCTGTGTACTGCGCCTGCCACACGAAAGGCAGCCGCGACCCAGCAGCGCCCACGCGCGCCGCAGCTCGACCAGGAGGCCAGGCTCTGTGTACTGCGCCTGCCACACGAAAGGCAGCCGCGGCCAGCGGCTGCCAAACGAAAGACAGCCGCGGCCCAGCGACGCCCACACGCGCCGCGGCTCGACCATGTACTGCGCCTGCCACACGAAAGGCAGCCGCGGCCCAGCCCACGTGCGCCGCAGCTCGACCAGGAGGCTCTGTGCATTGCACCTGACACACGAGAGGCAGCCGCGGCCCAGTGGCGCCCACGCGCGCCGCAGCCGACCAGGAGGCTCTGTGTATACTGCGCCTGCCACGCGAGAGGCAGCCGCACTGCACCTGAGTGAGTGGGTGGGTGAGTGAGTGAGTGAGTGAGGGAGTGAGTGAGTGAGTGTGAGTGAATGAGTGAGATTGAGGGAGTGAGTGAGTGAGTGTGAGTGAGTGAGTGAGCGAGCGAGCGAGTGAGTGAGTGAGTCCCCGTCCCCCTCACCATTTGTAAGAGTGGGTATACACGGGTAATAGAGGTATGGTAATGGTATAACACTGGTATGTAGTTGTCCTTCTGTATTTGGCTTGATTAAGATTATATACACACCAAATCACACCAATGAAAATAATGAAAACGATCAGGAATTAATTACATTATATGGAAATATTCAACATAAGTCTGCCGTCACCAGGCAAAACATGTCAAAGAGTAGAGCACATTCCAACCATTGTTTGTTTCTGTGGTGCCACATTGTCTTTATCCTTGAGGCATGTATCTTATAAGCTATGAACACTGGAGAACCAGTTTTGCATGGCATGGGATGGTATCTACTTTGTTTTGTGCTTTTGCATATGGATAAAGGGGGTGGTAATGCAATCGGCCGCCTTTTTTGACAATCATTGATCTGGCTACTAAGACTAACAGCAGTGCTTCTAGTTCCTTTATTGTCCCTTGCCTAACCAAGGAGGGAGATCATGGATGATGCGGGTGTACCAACGATCAGCCAGAGATATTTTTTCTCCTGGGCAGCACAATCTTCTACAGCCAGGTCGATGAGGTTGGATGAAACTTGCCTGTGCTTTATTACTGTGCAATCAGTTTGCCTCCCCGCAGCTTTTAAATTTGAAAGTGTTATTGAAGTGTTTAATTGGGCAAACCGGCAAACCCAATTAACCCCATCCATGATTCTTTAATCTTGTCCCAGAGATTGTGACCCAAAAGGTGTGCTAATGTTAGGAATCATTGCAGGCTTGGGCCTGCTCCAACCCGCTATCAGTAAATGAATGGAAAAAAATTAGTTTACCATGTATTGGGATGTCTGAAGAAACCAGAGATCAAGGTACAAACTGGTGCACAACAACTATGTCACTGCAAGGGGGGAAGCTCCGCGCATTACGCGCCCGGGGCTGTGGTTGCTGAACAGCGTAAGCTCCTTGCTTGACTTCAGCTTCTACCATTTTTTCATTCAGCTCCCTGGCACATTGGAAATTTACTGCACATTGCACATTTTTACATTGCATTCTGCCCAAGATGAGGTGAAGAGATAGCTTTGCTGCCGGATGGTCCTCTTCAACCTGACACCTGAGCAGTGTTCAAAACCTCTGTTGGTTAATATCTATAATTTATACTACTCAAAATATTGGGTATTATAATAACCCAATAGGGAAATCCCTAAAAACAAAACCAACCAGTATAATGGAATGGTAGAGGGATTTTGGACACTGATCACTGGTCTATAGCGAGATTGGATCGACTACTGGATGGTCCTCAACTTGACACCTGACGAGATTCGATCGAGATGTATAAAAAAGGGCAAAGTCCGGTCCGGTTCAACAGTTCGCCACTTTGCAGTTCAATTGACTAGCTTTGCATGCAGCAATATCAGAAAGTCAATTCTCTGAAGTTTTGTTATTGCAGGATATGGGGTGGTGTGGCCTTTGACATTCCCCTTGGTCGGAAGTCAGCATGTGCGGGGCCCAGGAAAGATTGTGAAACTTCTCTTCTCGTGCTCTTGGTCCATGGTCCACGATCCGCTTTTATCATGTTTATCCATGCATGCAGCATTGTTGAAATCTTGGCCTTTCAAAACTCGCATCAGGTGAGCCATTGGACACATTTTCTGAGCATGACCAAGAAGAGATTGGCTGCTGGCTGTGCAGGTTTCGTCATGTAACTCTGGCTGAATTATATAATTATATGATTGATAAGGGCCTGAGTCACTGAGCCTTCGATATCATTTCGCAGAACATCATCGAGCCATCGACTATGAACTTTCTTTTGACTGATGATGATTCTGTTGATTCTAATGAATTGTAAGCATGATTGAAGGCTAGAAGATGCTCTTCTCAACCCATGATTCTGGTAGATGCTCAACTATCATAGCTTCCTTGTCTAAGGTAAAGGTAATTAAGCGATCAACTGAAGAGCTGCACTGCTTATATATAGATGTGTGCGCCCCAGGAAAGATTGCTACTGCTACTGAGCTACTGTTTCTTTTTTCCCTCGTGCTATCAAGTGCTCATGGCTCATGGACACTTTTTTGCCCATTGCCAATCAATTCAACTGTCAATCTAGGAAAGCTCACTCAAAATGGTTTTGTTATCCCTGGCTCAGGACCTGGGGTGGCGTGGCTTGACGGTCCAGTGTCCTCTGCATGTGTGGGCCCTTGTAAAGATTGCAGAGATTGTGCATTTTGTGCATCCAATCCAATGCTCCCTTCTCATTGGGCGCATTTTTCCAAGACTAATTGAAAATCAAGGCAACCATCAATAGTTGAAAATTAACCCAAAGTGATTTTGCTATCCCAGGACCTGGCACTTCCTTGCTTTGTCCTGTACATGAGTGGCCCCAGGACAGATTGTGGAGAACTGAGAAAATGTGTCTTGTGCATCTGGACATGTCTTTGAGGAGTGTGGAGGATGAGTTTCACAAGCTGGTGACCCAGTGTCTTTCTTCTTGCAACTTGCTTTTCAATTTTGCAACTTGCAATATTTCCATACCTGCCCACTTGTGACACTGGTAATTGGTCACTAGCTTGAATGTTGGCGATTCCCGGTTTGCCACGCTATACATTCAAGAAAGACTTGCCAATCTGAGGAAAACCCTGGACCTGAAACTCCTGGATTCCTTTGTGCCCTTGACTGAGATGCAACTTTCCGAACTCATCTACATTGATGATCTATAGTGGTGATTCAATAGGATGGCCCATGGTTCAATCTGTCACAGTCACCAGTCATAGTCCTTGAAAGCTTTGCAGGTCTTTGATTCTTCTATGCATATGGGTTTTCATGAGGCCAGGGCCCCGGGAGAGGAGGGATCAGGGAGGTAGGCTGCTGCCACAAAGAGACTAAGTGCTTGAGATAAACATGGATATATGATTGACTTGGACTTTTCTTTGGCAGTCACAGTCATGAGATTAGAAATGATTTAATTCACAATGTATATATATATATACACATTGTACATAGATATTGATATTCATAGTCACAGTCAAAGTCAGAGTCATATGGCAATAAATAGGTATAGCCGGCTAATAGCCGGTATAGCCGAAGATAAGAGCCTCAATTAAAGTCACAGTCTGTCACAGTCAAGATCCCTAAACCCAAAAAATGAGTATGGAAAGGAGCACAAGGGCAACCCTATTATATGATATCATAGTACTAGGCTTTTCCCAGCCCCCGTTGCCTCCTGCCAGGTCCGCCCGTTTATATTTTTTGGGAGATGGCAAACCACCTTGGTTGGGGGGCCCCAAAGCACACACCCCTCATGACATATTTATACATGTTGGTTTCGAGTCGCTTCGTTTCCTTTTTTCCCGAGAGCGCCTGCGAAGGGTTCTTCGTAAAAAAGCAGCCGTTATATACATCTTCACACCCTCACATTTGCTGATCTACATCTTCACACCTTCACACCTGCTGATCTACATCTTCACACCTTCACATCTGCTCACCTTCACATCTGCTGATCTACATCTTCACACCCTCACACCTGCTGATCTACATCTTCACACCTGCACATCTGCAGATCTACATCTTCACACCCTCACATCTGCAGATCTACATCTTCACACCTTCACATCTGCAGATCTACATCTTCACACCCTCACACCTGCTGACCTACATCTTCACACCTGCACATCTGCAGATCTACATCTTCACACCCTCACATCTGCAGATCTACATCTTCACACCTTCACATCTGCAGATCTACATCTTCACACGTTCACATCTGCAGATCTACATCTTCACACTTTCACATCTGCAGATCTCCTCTCGCTCTTCTTTCTACTGTATCTCTCTCTTAAGGCAGGGGCGGTGCCGCCGGAGCGCCACGAAACGCAACCTTTTCGCACGAAATGGACATTGGACGTCAAAAACTGAGGTAAAATTGCGATTTTGAGGTGTCCATCGCAACCCTTTCGCACGAAATGGACGTTGGACGTCAAAAACTGAGGTAAAATTGCGATTTTGAGGTGTCACGGGCAACCCTTTCGCACGAAATGGACGTTGGACGTCAAAAACTGAGGTAAAATTGCGATTTTGAGGTGTCACGGGCAACGCTTTCGCACGAAATGGACGTTGGACGTCAAAAACTGAGGTAAAATTGCGATTTTGAGGTGTCACGGGCAACCCTTTCGCACGAAATGGACGTTGGACGTCAAAAACTGAGGAAAAATTTCTCCATTTTACTTTGTCCATCGCGACCCTTTCGCACGAAATGGACGTTGAACGTCAAAAACTGAGTAAAATTGCGATTTCACCGGCCCGGTCTCTGTGGGTAAAAGCTTCTGTGTGTAAAAGCTTCTGTGTTTAAAAGCCTCTGTGTGTAAAAGCTTCTGTATGTAAAAGCGTCTGGTGTAAAAGCGTCTGTGTGTAAAGTTGTCTACGTGTAAAAGCCTCTGTGTGTAAAAGCTTTTGTGTGCAAAAGCATCTGCGTGTGAAAGCGTCTGTGTGTAAAAGTGTCTGTGTGTAAAATGGTCTGTGTGTGAAAGTGTCTGTGTGTAAAAGGCGTCTGTGTGTAAAAGCGTCTGTGTGTAAAAGCGTCTGTGTGCAGAAGCGTCTGTGTGTAAAAGCCTCTGTGTGTAAAAGCCTCTGTGTGTAAAAGCTTCCGTGTGTAACAGCTTCTGTGTGTGAAAGTGACTGTTTGTAAAAGCTTTGTGTTTAAAAGCTTCTGTGTGTAAAAGTGTCTGTGTGTAAAATTGTCTGTGTGTGAAAGTGTCTGTGTGTAAAAGGCGTCTGTGTGTAAAAGCGTCTGTGTGTAAAAGCTTCCGTGTGTAACAGCTTCTGTGTGTGAAAGTGACTGTTTGTAAAAGCTTCTGTGTTTAAAAGCTTCTGTGTGTAAAAGTGACTGTGTGTAACATGGTCTTTGTGTAAAAGTGTCTGTGTGTAAAAGCGTTTGTGTGTAAAATGGTCTGTGTGTAGAGGTGTCTGTGTGTAAAAGCTTCTGTATGTAAAAGGCATCGTTGCGTGCTGTACCTGTAGATTGAAACAATGACTTGTAGTTGTGCACCTGCACGTTGCCACGGGAGGTAGTTTTGTCCTTGCATTGCGCTTGCATTGTTGTCGCTCGCATGGCTCAGAATGTAGGCTCGAATCTGTTAAATGGCTTGCATCGTGTTCAAGGTAGGGAACGTCTGTTAGATCACAGTTGCCGCCATGACCACCAGCGCTCGCGAGTGGAGAGCGGCGCGAGAAGAAGATATCAGGAGGGCTTACGCCGACAAAGAATGTTGGAATGACCTGGGCCGCATTACCTGTCAGCACCCTTACAATTTCAATGCCATAGAGCAGTGGCCGTTGGACGCTGCCGTGATCTGCAAACCTACGGATCGAGCGTCGGTGTTGCTTGGAAGCATCAAAGCGGCGTGTAGCTTGGAAGACATTTTCAAGAGTCTGTCTGTGAAGGTCACCGTGGGGTGACCATGTGCGCAGATGAAATGGAGATTCGAGGCGCCCCGAAGGATTGGGCGCGGTATTTCCAGCAAGAAAAAGTCTTTCACATCAAGTGTCACTTGGAGGACACGACGTTGAAGCCGCCGCACCGTTGGGAGGAACGAATCCCTGACTTGGTAGCTTCTTGTTTGGAACAGTGGAAAATTGTTTGTGGCCAACTCTGGAAACAGTCCATGCTGGCAGTGACCAGGGGCGAATCCATGCACGTGCTCTTCCATTGCTTTGGAGGCATCAATCGAAGCGCTGGGGCTTTATGTGCTTGGCTCGTCGTGGGTTACAACTACTCTGCAGAGGATGCTGTCCAGTTGCTGCTTGAGAAAAGACCTTCCTTGCGCCCTTGGCACAATCGCCCCTATGTCTCGGAGGCTTTGTGGAAGCTGGAAGGTTTGCGTGCCGAGTGGCACATGGAACTGAGTGCGGCGGGCACAAATTAATTTGCACCACTGTTCGTCTGGAGAAACTGTTCGTGGCGAACGTGCAAAATCAGTAGCCAACTGTTGTTTGTCTGTAAAGACTGTTCGTGACAAACGTGTGAACTCATTAGTGCGACCAGCAGTTCAAAAAGTGGAAAGTGTTCATCTACATGTGTTTGTGTGATCAAACTCGATGACAGACGATCTCATCTTGGTACGAGTGAACAACTATGCATGATCGTGCAATCTGTAATTTCTGAGGTCACTCTTGCGCCAGTTTGGTACCGGCCTGGGTTTTTGATGGATGTTTTTGGTCTTGAAGTAAATCAAATTAGTGGAATGTGTTCAGCGCTGTGCACTAAGGTTGGCACTTCTGAGCCACGACGTTTCACTGCGATTTCAAAGCATCATTTCGTGTTGGTATGTGTTCTAAAAGCGTCGGCCTGTAAGAGCGCCTGTGTGTAACGGGTTTTGTCCATAAGAGCGTCTGTGTGTACAAGAGTCTGTGAGTAAAAGCTTCTGTGTGGAAAAGCGTCTTGGTGTAAAAGCCTCTGCGTGTAAATGTGCCTGTGTGTAAAAGGGTCTGTGTGTAAAAATGTCGGTCTGTAAAAGTGTTTGTGTGTAAAAGCTTCTGTGTGTAAAGGCCTTTATGTGTAAAAGCGTCTGTGTGTAAAACAATATGTGTATAAAAGGGTCTGTGTGTTAAAGTGTCCGTGTGTAAAAGTTTTTGTGCATGTAAAAGCGTCTCTGTGTGAGAGTGTCTGTGTGTAAAAATGTCTGCCTGTAAAAACGTCTGTGTGTAAAAGCGTCTCTGTATAAAAGCGTCTCTGTATAAAAGCGTCGCGTTTCTTCACGTCCACGGAATGATGGTGCCGAGCTTTTTCCGCAATGTGTGTGTGGGAATTACCATAGTAAAATGAGATAACACATGTCATTCGCAGACTCATGGTACCGAGCCTCCTGTGCACTTTTGTTGCTCACAGTATATTTCTCCATGTTTTCTTTCTACTCCCCCCCCTTTCATTCTCTCTCTCTCTCTCTCCCTCTCTCCCTCTCTCCCTCTCTCCCTCTCTCTCCTCCCTCTTTCTCTCTTTCTCTCTGTGGTTGCAAGACACGTGTCATCTGATGCCCTTTACCAAGTATCCTCTTCTTAATCAATCTTACTTTTTCACACCAAATCCTTCCATAGCTCAAATAAAATTCACCAACTATTCACCGACTATCTTTTGCAACTACCATCTTCAGAGCTGCTTGAAAAACATCTTTTTCGCTCTCGGGCCAACCGTCGTCTAGTTTTCTGGTTCACATGAAAATGGGACTTCGCCACCCTACCCCTCGACACATACACACATGATAGAAGGTATATGTGTCCAGGCTCCTCCTCAGGTCTTATGATTTTAAAAGGAAGTGATGCTGTACCATGGAGTGAGTGAGTGAGTGAGTGAGGGAGGGAGTGAGTGAGCGAGAGAGTGAGCGAGAGAGTGAGTGAGTGAGTGAGTGAGTGAGTGAGCGAGCGAGCGAGCGAGAGAGTGAGTGTGTGAGTGAGCGAGAGTGAGTGAGTGAGTGAGTGAGTGAGAGAGAGAGAGAGTGAGTGAGTGAGTGAGTGAGTGAGTGAGCGAGTGGGTGAGAGAGAGAGAGTGAGTGAGAGTGAGTGAGAGTGAGTGAGAGTGTGTGTGAGTGAGTGAGAGTGAGTGAGAGTGAGTGAGAGTGAGTGAGAGTGAGTAAGAGTGAGTGAGAGTGAGAGTGAGTGAGAGTGAGTGAGAGCGAGTGAGAGTGAGTGAGAGTGAGTGAGAGTGAGTGAGAGTGAGTGAGAGTGAGTGAGTGAGTGTGTGAGTGAGTGAGTGAGAGTGAGTGAGAGTGAGTGAGAGTGAGTGAGAGTGAGTGAGAGTGAGTGAGAGTGAGTGAGAGTGAGTGAGAGTGAGTGAGAGTGAGTGAGAGTGAGTGAGTGAGTGAGGGCGGCGGAGGAGGAGGAGGCTGGAACCCCCCGGCGGGATCCAAGCGAAAAACAAGAACCCCACACAGTGATGTGGGGAAAAATATCTGGATTCAAGTCCCCACCCCCATTGCTTGTATACATTGGTCATTTGTTCGTGTTTTTGTTTGCTGTAACCCCCCAGAAAGCATACATGTTGGCAAGTGCCCCATGGCATTGATTATCTCAATTTACCTTGTTTTTAAACAAATTACCTCAGTTTTGAGCGCGTTTTTGGCGGAAATCGAAGGCTTACCCCCTCTAGGCGTCCATGTTTTAAAGAATGTGGGTTCCTACTTCTGAGCAAGTTCAACCAAGAGGTTCTCCATGGCAATGCTTGGATCAATACGGTCCCATCAATTGCATTTTTTTGGTCGCAAAAGAGGAAAAAATCCATGGGATTGATTTATAGAACCCCCATGCTTCCATTTTGAAAAGAATATGTATCTATTGGATCTTGCCACTTGTACCCACCACTAAGCATAACATAGCATAACTACACTTTCAAATTCAGTACCCCTACAAAGCATATATTTTCCCCCTGACATTCATACATAATCCCATTTTGCTTCATTTTGAAAGGTTATCCCCCTCTAGTCCCCATATCTTTTTGGAAAAAGTGAGGGGTTGATCCGCCCTGGCCCCCATATCTTTGAAAAATGTAGGATCCACCCCACTATCCCGCATTTTTGCCCCTACCTCGTGTGCGGCCGCACTTGCCCCCACTGAACCTAGGGTAGGGGCGAATGTGATTCGATCTCGTTTTGTTAGGCGGGCGCAATCGTTTAGAGGTGGGAAAGGATGGTTTTCCAGCTCTCTAGCGGTCAGCTTACGGGCAAATCGCAACTGTCATGGAAAGCCAGTTCCAACAAAGCTGGTCGGGATTCTACGTTCTCGAATCCATTTCTGGTAACTTCGAAGGCGATCTGGATGTTACGTTGCAACATCCTCTTCAAGCAATTTCCAAAACGTTCTGCATGCTACGGTGTGACATCCATTTCCAAAAACCGCCACAACGCTCTGGATGTTACTTTGTAACATGCATTTCAAGTAACTTCCAAGACGTTCTGCATGCTACGGTGTGACATCCATTTCCAATAACCGCCACAACGCTCTGGATGTTACTTTGTAACATGCATTTCAAGTAACTTCCAAGACGTTCTGCATGCTACGGTGTGGCATCCATTTTCAAAAACCGCCACAACGCTCTGGATGTTACTTGTAACATGCATATCAAGTAACTTCCAAGACGTTCTGCATGCCACGGTGTGGCATCCATTTCCAGTAACCGCCACATCGCTCTGGATGTTACTTTGTAACATGCATTTCAAGTAACTTCCAAGACGTTCTGCATGCTACGGTGTGACATCCATTTCCAATAACCGCCACAACGCTCTGGATGTTACTTTGTAACATGCATTTCAAGTACCTTCAAAGACGTTCTGCATGCTACGGTGTGACATCCATTTCCAAAAACCGCCACAACGCTCTGGATGTTAGTTTGTAACATGCATTTCAAGTAACTTCCAAGACGTTCTGCAGCTACGGTGTGACATCCATTTCCAAAAACCGCCACAACGCTCTGGATGTTACTTTGCAACATGCATTTCAAGTAACTTCCAAGACGTTCTGCATGCTACGGTGTGACATCCATTTCCAATAACCGCCACAACGCTCTGGATGTTACTTTGTAACATGCATTTCAAGTACCTTCAAAGACGTTCTGCATGCTACGGTGTGACATCCATTTCCAAAAACCGCCACAACGCTCTGGATGTTAGTTTGTAACATGCATTTCAAGTAACTTCCAAGACGTTCTGCAGCTACGGTGTGACATCCATTTCCAAAAACCGCCACAACGCTCTGGATGTTACTTTGCAACATGCATTTCAAGGAACTTCCAAGACGTTCTGCATGCTACGGTGTGACATCCATTTCCAATAACCGCCACAACGCTCTGGATGTTACTTTGTAACATGCATTTCAAGTAACTTCCAGGACATTCTGCATGCTACGGTGTGGCATCCATTTCCAGTAACCGCCACAACGCTCTGGATGTTACTTTGTAACATGCATTTCAAGTAACTTCCAAGACGTTCTGCATGCACGGTGTGGCATCCAATTCCAAAAACCGCCACAATGCTCTGGATGTTACTTTGTAAAATGCATTTCAAGTAACTTCCAAGACGTTCTGCATGCTACGGTGTGGCATCCACTTCCAAAAACCGCCACAACGCTCTGGATGTTAGTTTGTAACATGCATTTCAAGTAACTTCCAAGACGTTCTGCATGCTACGGTGTGACATCCATTTCCAATAGCCGCCACATCGCTCTGGATGTTACTTCGTAACATGCATCTCAAGTAACTTCCAAGACGTTCTGCATGCTAAGCTTTAACAGCATTTCAATCAACCTCCAAGATGCTTTGGATGGTATGTTGCAACATCGGTGTCAAGCATCTCCCTACGTTGTAACATCCACGTGAAAGGTAAGTGACCCCGGCCCTCCCCTGACCAATGTCCCCAAGCCCCCTCTAAATTCCCCTTGTCACCAAATGAAACCCTAAAAGACTGAACGACATCTTGAGCAGAAAGGTATTTGAGGTGGGGGCGACTGTGACCCTAGTTGGGGTAGGGCGAATGTGACCCCGTTTGGGTGGACAGGCGGAGTCCGAGTTCTTTCAATCGTACGGGCGCGAAATCGAAAGCCAGCTGATGAATTCTGTGGCAAAGATCCGCCAGAGGTTGATGCAGGACACCAGCTGCTGCACAGATCATCCTGCAAGGGCAAGGGGCCTATTGGATTGACTTCGTGCCATTTTAAAGATTGAGTGGCTTTATGGATCCCAAATCGCACGAAAGAATTATATGCATGGACATGGCGTCAAGTATCCTTCACACCCCTACTATCCAAAATGTTTTTGAAAATATTTCAAGACATTTGGAACTTGTTCAAGGTACCCGCAGATGGCTCTGCTTTCGCATCGTGTGTTGCAAGGCTTTTGATTCTCCCGGGTGGCACGTCCCTGGTTAGTGACGGTTAGTGGTTTCCAAGATTGACCTTTATCGTTTGCAATGCTTTGCCACGGGCAATGAATTTTAATCTGCTCTGCCACCGGAATATCCAAGGCATGTGTCGGGTGTGTTGCGCATCAGCCTTGTAAGAAAGGTTCCCGCAGCGAGTAGGCCCAAACCACCTCTGTGCCAGTTGTGTGCGCAATGCAAGTGAAACGAAGGAACTTAAAGACACCTGGTGCCTTTGTTGCTGTTTAAGTTGGCGAAGAGCTGTTGGAACATCCCCAAGTTCTTTCTTCAGATCAAGGATGGTGAGCTCGAGGTCCGTTTTGAAAGGAAATCAATATTTTCGGAAAGCCGACATGCGAAGGAACATATCCAATGAATCCAATGAACCTTGATGCCCTTGCTGTCAAAACTCTTTTGATCACCCAGAAATCTTTCCTCGGATCAAGGATGTTCGAGCCGAGTACACCGAAGTGATGGAACTCAGAGACAACCCAGCTCCGGTTGGATGCCGCTCTATCGTCTACACCACAGTTCCCCGCTACGGCAATTGTTTGATTCCGTCCTTTCATGATTTAAAACTTCCAGCCCACTGCTGAGATGCAGCCCGCAGGTTGTTGAGGAAAACTGTGATGCAAGCTTGTGCTGCCAAGCCGCAGGGGTGAACGAGCAGCTCCAGAGTGAAGATCCCCCAGACTGGAGCAGGACTTCCATCAAGTCCTCCCCATCATTTTTTCAATATCAACCTCTTCGGAAAATTTTGCCATTGTAAAGTGGACATTCTAGATAAAGTTTTGAAAGGAACTGGTCAAGCACATCGCTCACCAGAAGATGGAGTCAAAAGGACCAACAAAACAAACAAGAGAAGGCTTCAAACAGGCGCTTGACTGTCCTGAACCTAGCTGACGCAGGGAAGTGGTTCACCAGAGAAATCCGAGAAGGTGCTGCTGCAACGCCCTGCATGTAGCACGGTGATCAACAGTCTCTGGTGCTCTTGGGCGAGAAGTGCTGTCTGTGCTGTGCTTCTCTTTGTGTTGGCATGAAGGCGCCCTTTAAGCCACGGACTACAACGACAACATCCTTTGCTGGAAGCCTGGCCATGCGGCTGCCGACACCCGGCGAGTTGTTGGTGAAGGCGCCGCAGTGACTGGAATCAATGACCTGGGGTACCGTTGTGAGCTCGCCATCTCACCCACTGGATTTTCGTGCATGATGTTCAGAATCATAGGCTTGTGAGTTTGGAAAATGGTTCTGGCCGCATAGTTTTTGATGACTTCCCTTGCAACAATCTATTTTGCTCGCCCACTGGAGTACTCTACCTTCTGCCTGTGGGTGGAAGAGTTGTGCAGAAGTTGGTAGGTTCAAGCCTCCAGATGGTCGTTGCTGCTGAGACTCTTCCAGCAGACCTGCAGTTTGTGGCAGTCGGGATATGTGTAACCAAGGACGGGGTGATCTAAGTCCTTCACGTTGATGACAATGATATCCACCGCATTTTACGAGAGGGGGGGGGCATGAGAGGGCAGAAAACACATGCCATGAGTTCGGAAGCGGAATCGTTTCCAATATGAGTGCGGTGATTTTCTCTGCGTCAAGACCATGAGACAATCTGTTCAGTGAAGCCTGTTGTAGTGGGACAGGTCCCAAGCGAGCAGAATCCGGATCTATGGAGCCTGTTGGTCACTGAACTTGGCTTTGGCGGCACCCGGTGAATGGAACGCTTCATGTCTTGGTCCCTCACAATGGCCATGGTGTGTGTACGAAAAAGGTGGGCAGGAGATGTTGGTGGCAAGTCTTGGGTTTGATGGCGCCCAAGACACGGCACGGACCTTGCCACTTGGGGATGAAGACCCCGCATGGCCAAGTTTGGATCAGGGGTAAGAATCCGCCGTGACTGCCGAAGCTGTCGCCGAAGTCCACACCGCGGACGGTACCAACGTTGAAAGCGAGTGGCCATTCCAGGTCGTCATCCCCTTGCTTGCACCCATCGTTGGCAAGTTGGTCTGAGTGTGAATTATATACATTCAGCACCAAACCACAGACAACGGTACAGCGCATGCATTGGGATTGGATCCAGACAAAGTTTTCCAGAAGCAAGCCGCACTTCTTAGCCTCACCTTGTGTGCATTGCTTTCCTGTGTGAAGATACCCAACAGGCATACCCCAACTTCGCACGGGGAAGGAGTGGCAATGAGTAGAAACATCCAAGTGAAGACGATTCGGCACCAGGCTGCCCAAGACCTGCCAAGCTCGGCCGCTGCGCCGGTGGAACGGAGAGGAATGCCAGAGCTTTGGGACCTTGAGGTGTATTGGAAAAAGCACCGTGTGGAGGTTGCGGTGTGCCAAGTGGCCTTGGACTTCGAGCCGCGGGACTGGCCCTTGTGCCAGAAGAGCTGGTGAAATGCTTGCCGTCAAGGCCAGTCCCTTGTTGAGGGGAATGTCGCGGTGGTTCACCATGTGGGTTTTGCCGCTGGGCGCTCCAAAGGTTGTTTGCCCAAAATTGCTCCATTCAATTATCATCTTCCGTGATCTTCACAAGTTCCAAAGGACGCACGTAGCCCACCCGCAAAATGACACAACGTTGGAACCCTTCCTTCCCGCCGAGAATAATTTCTTCCCGAATGTCATTTGAACGAAGAAAGGTGGTCTCAGGGCTTGCTAAAATTGATATGTAATATGTATATCTCGAGTCCGTCCTAAAAGCTGTAACAGTAAAAAAAAAATGATTTCTTTATATTTTGGGCGAGCGTTGTTTTGAGTGTATTCCTTCGTGCACAAAATCGTGCACAAAATCGTGCTTTTCGGTGCTTTCCCTCGTGCAAAAAGTTGTGCTCTAGATCGTGCTTTTTGGTGCTCTCCCTCGTGCACAAAATCGTGCTTTTTGGTGCTCTCCCTCGTGCCAAAAATTGTGCTTTTTGGTGCTCTCCCTCGTGCCAAAAACCGTGATCTAGATTGTGCTTTTTGGTGCTCTCCTTCGTGCCAAAAATCGTGCTTTTTGGTGCTCTCCTTCGTGCATTGCTCTCCTTTGTCCAAACATCGTGCTCTAGATCGTGCTCTTTGGTGCTCTCCTTCGTGCACAAAATCGTCGTTTTTGGTGCACTCCCTCGTGCCAAAAATTGTGCTTTTTGGTGCTCTCCCTAGTGCCAAAACCCGTGCTCTAGATCGTGCTTTTTGGTGCTCTCCTTCGTGCCACAAACTGCTCTCCCTCGTGCACAAAATCGTGCTCTAGATCGTGCTTTTTGGTGCTCTCCTTCGTGCCAAAAATCGTGCTCTAGATCGTGCTCGCGGTTACAGCTATTAGGCTAGTGTCCATGTATATCTATATTGAATACCTACCTCAACAGGCGGCCCCAAAATGAAATAAACTGAATAGATTCCCAATACGCAACCCGGGTTTTAAGGGTTTTTATATTGTAAATTGTATATATATATATACAATATATATATATAATATTATAATATAACTGCGTATTTGAATGATTGATATAAGTGCTTCCTTTGGCTCATGGGGTGTTCAATCAGGGCACATATTTTCATTTGACAAAGAGGAGCCTGTCGCAAGGTGACATGGACACCCGTTGCAAGGAAATAAACACCTTTGTGTTTTTCTCCAGGCACTGCAGATCTTGATGGACGCATATTAGTTGCCAGATATTCATCTATTGGTAGTGAGGTGGTGTTGAAACCACAACCGGAACAAACATCGATAAAAATGATTCCCGGACAGGGGTAGCTGGGTAGCACGTTTCTACCATTATCCTTAGGTAGTTTGTTCCCCACCTGCCAGGTGAGGGTTGTTAGATTTTATGTCAGTTGCCTCCTCGTCCTCCTCCTCCTCCTCCTTCTCCTCCTCGTCCTCCTCTCCTCCTCGTCCTCGTCGTCCTCGTCGTCCTCGTCGTCCTTGCTCAACTGCGACCCGCGATCCACAGTGTTCGCTGTCGGACCTCAACCACGACCATCCACGCCCAGTGTTCCCTGCCGGACCTCAACCACGACCATCCACGCCCAGTGTTCCCTGCCGGACCTCAACCACGACCATCCGCGCCCAGTGTTCCCTGCCGGACCTCAACCCCGACCATACACGCCCAGTGTTCCCTGCCGGACCTCAACCACGACCGTCCGCGCCCAGTGTTCCCTGCCGGACCTCAACCGCGAGTATCCATGCCAAGTGTTCCCTGCCGGACCTCATGTAGGAATGTCAGATAGACTGCCAGATAGAATGCCAGATAGAATGTCAGATAGGATGCCAGATAGAATGCCAGATAGAATGTCAGATAGGATGCCAGATAGAATGCCAGATAGAATGCCAGAAAGAATGCCAGAAAGAATGCCAGATAGAATGCCAGATAGAATGTCAGATAGGATGCCAGATAGAATGCCAGATAGAATGCCAGATTGCCATAGATGCCAGATCCAGATACTGCCAGAAGAATGTCCAGAATTAGAATGCCAAATATATGTCAGATATAATGCAGGAGAGATAATGCAGGAAATATAAATGTCAGATGTCAGAAGAATGCCAGAATATATGTCAGATATAATGCCAGATAGAATGCCAACATATATGCCAGAATATATGTCAGATAGAATGCCAAAATATATGTCAGATATAATGCCAGATAGAATGCCAGAATATATGCCAGAATATATGTCAGAATAAATGACAGGTAGAATGCCAGAATATATGTCAGATGAAATGTCAGAAAATATGTCAGATAGAATGCCAGATAGACTGCCAGATAGAACGCCAGGTGGAATGTCAGGATATATGCCAGATAGAATGCCAGAATATATGCCAGAATATATGTCAGATAGGATGTCAGAATATACTAAATATATGTCCAAATATACGTCCTGACATGTCATGGTGGGGATCACACGAAGTAGAGTAATTTTTGCAACAAGAGGTGATTCAAAACCCAGGATGTGAGTGGTGGGTCAAAATGGCTGGAGCCATCCATTGATTGGGCACAATGGGCACAGCTGGGCTGACCGGAGGTGCAAGAAATCTGCTTGTTGTTGTCCTAGGGGAATCCGTGCCTGAGAAAGGCAACTGGGTCGGTTGCTGCGCAAAAGCTAGGAAGGGGGAAAGCATAAGCAATTCTTTGCCGAAAGAACTGCTGCAAAGCAATTCTTTGACGAAGGAACTGAAGGAACTGCTCTGAAAGAACTGCTGCAAAGCAGTTCTTTGACGAAGGAACTGCTCCTATGAAAGAACTGCTGCAAAGCAATTCTTTGACGAAGGAACTGCTCCTCTGAAAGAACTGCTGCAAAGCAATTCTTTGACGAAGGAACTGCTCCTCTGAAAGAACTGCTGCAAAGCAATTCTTTGACGAAAGATCTGAAGAAACTGCTCCTCTGAAAGAACTGCTGCAAAGCAATTCTTGGACGAAGGAACTGCTCCTCTGAAAGAGCTGCTGCAAAGCAATTCTTTGACGAAGGAACTGCTCCTCTGAAAGAACTGCTGCAAAGCAACTGTTTGACGAAGGAACTGCTCCTCTGAAAGAACTGCTGCAAAGCAATTCTTTGACGAAGGAACTGCTCCTCTGAAAGAACTGCTGCAAAGCAGTTCTTTGACGAAGGAACTGCTCCTCTGAAAGAACCGCCGCACAGCAATTCTTTGACGAAGGAACTGAATGAACTGCTCCTCTGAAAGAACTGCTGCAAAGCAATTCTTTGACGAAGGAACTGCTCCTCTGAAAGAACTGCTGCAAAGCAATTCTTTGACGAAGGAACTGCTCCTCGGAAAGAACTGCTGCAAAGCAATTCTTTGACGAAGGAACTGCTCCTCTGAAAGAACTGCTGCAAAGCAGTTCTTTGACGAAGGAACTGCTCCTCTGAAAGAACTGCTGCAAAGCACTTCTTTGACGAAGGAACTGCTCTGAAAGAACTGCTGCAAAGCAATTCTTTGACGAAGGAACTGAAGGAACTGCTCCTCGGAAAGAACTGCTGCAAAGCAATTCTTTGACGAAGGAACTGCTCCTCTGAAAGCACTGCTGCAAAGCATTTCTTTGACGAAGGAACTGAAGAAACTGCTCCTCTGAAAGAACTGCTGCAAAGCCATTCTTTGACGAAGGAACTGAAGAAACTGCTCCTCTGAAAGAACTGCTGCAGAGCACTTCTTTGACAAAGGAACTGCTCCTCTGAAAGAACTGCTGCAAAGCAATTCTTTGACGAAGGAACTGCTCCTCTGAAAGAACTGCTGCAAAGCAATTCTTTGCTGAATGAAGTGCTTCTCTGTTCAATGAACTGCTCCAAAGCAATTCTTTGTCGAAAGAACTGCTGCAAAGCAATTCTTTAACGAAGGAACTGCTCCTCTGAAAGAATTGCTGCAAAATGAAGGAGCTGCTTCTCTGTTGAAAGAACTGCGGCAAAGAAATTCTTTGATGAAGGATTTCCTTCCCTGTTCAAAGAACTGCTGCAAAACAATTCTTGGATGAAGGAAATGCTTCTCCGTTGAAAGAACTGCTGCAAAGCAATTCTTGGACGAAAGGACTGCTTTTCTGTTGAAAGATCTGCTGCAAAACAATTCTTGGATGAAAGAAAGGCGTCTCTTTGGAAAGAACTGCTGCAAAACAGTTCTTGGATGAAGGAGCTTCTTCTTTGTTTTAAGAACTGCCGCAATGCAATTGTTGGATGAAAAAACTGTTTCTCTGTTGAAAGAACTGCCGCAATGCAATTCTTGGATGAAAAGAACTGCTTCTCTGTTGGAAGATCTGCTGCAAAGCATTTTTTTGGATGAAAGAATTGCTTCTCTGTTGGAAGATCTGCTGCAAAGCAATTCTTGGATGAAGGAACTGCTTCTTTGTTGAAAGAACTGCCGCAATGCAATGCTTTTTATTAATTGAGATCTTGTTATAGTTGAGAGGTCGGTGTTGCTGAGTAATGTCGTATGCCGTATGCTTTGGCCACGGGCAGGTCAGTGACCGCTTCTTGCATGGTTGCGGTAAGGATAAGCTTCTGGATACCTTGACACAAGGGCTTATCGATGAAACTGTGACTCCTCACCGTATACCAGCCTTGGTGGCTGCAAAGTACGAGGGCAAGGAGTATGTCGTTTGCAGCAACCGGCGGCTGAAATGCTACAAGGATGCCTGGCACAGCGGACATGAGTGTTGGTTCAAAGTGATCGTCCATGTCCTGCCATCAAAGATCCCTTCCAGCGTTTTGCCTTCATCGCGAAGGCTGTCTTTTCGGTCGACACAAAGAACGACGGCCTGTTTCCTGTCGGATGTGTGTCGGATGTGTGTCGGATGTGTGCCGGATGTGTGTCGGATGTGTGTCGGATGTGTCTTGCCTCGGCGCAAATTGTAAGGCAACAGAATTTCCTGGAAAATAAATGAAAACAAGCCGAAATTAGACATTATGATGAACCATTATGAAACATCATTATGAAACATGAGACAGATGTGATACCCTTAGATGTGATGCTGTGTACATGTATAATAGCATGCATATATATATATAATTTATGTGTGTGTACATACTGAACAGATGTAAAACTTCTGAATAGGCTCCTTTCCTTGCTGCAGGGGGCAGTGGCCCACTCATGAGTCCACTGCCAACGAAGCTACTCATGGGTTGGGAGGATATCGGGACTGATCATCCCGACGTACCTGCAGAATTTTTCTATTTGCGACTGATATGGCAAGGGGCCAAGCCAAGAACCCAAACAAACAAACAAACAAACAAACAAACAAAAAAAACAAAACAACAAACAAACAAACAAGCAAGCAAGCAAGCAAGCAAGCAAGCAAACAAACAAACAAACATACATTTATTCTTTTCGTAGCCATGGCAGAGGGCTAAGCCGAGAACCCTACAGGCCCTACAGGAATTATGTATTTTTTTTTGGGGGGGGACCTATTCTTTTTCCTCGTCATGGCAGAGGGCTAAGCCGAGAACCCTACAGCGACTAATTCCAGTATTTTGCGATGTATTTGAT